TGATGACTGCAGTGATGAGTGCACACAGGCAAGGAAGCTCCCAGGAGTATGTAAGTGATATATAGCCACAGCCAAATTTTTTTTCACCCATTTTCATGTATGAAGACCCCTAAGGCAATAAATTCATCCATCGGCGTGTATGCGCATGAAGACCCCAAGAGTGTTAAGTTAAATAAGGTTCCAGTTCTGGGGGCTTACTTAAGTCCAAGTTCAGATACATGACAATTCTGAGGTGATATTAACCTTACTACAACAGCATAAACTAAGTATGTTTCATCTACAAGCCAATATGAAGCATAACAAAAAGCCTGAATTTTTTTTTTAAATTTCATCTTGGTATTTGTTTGTAAATTCTCGATAAAAGATGTACAGTCAACAAAAGTATCCTGACCCCTGCTGTGCATAATAATCCGAGACACCGAGCAAAGATTCCTACTCGTATTGTTATCGTCATGTACTGGTAGGCCGCTGCTGCTCTTGTATAGCAATGTTGCTATAATCACATTTCAAGATAATTCCATATCTATTCTGTCTCTATGAATTACGTGTGTAATGTTATCTTGGTAGTATGTAGAAAATAAATGGTTCTTTATTGTGAAGCATCAAGTGTTCCCTTTGAGGTTTCGGCATTGATGTTCCTGCCATCCACTATGTGTGGGTGCTTGTGGCCCCAACTACTAAGTCATGCTTAACTAAAAGAATAAAAGCTGGACCTCACACTAATATCATACAGTACTGTATAACCCTGGCCCACCAGTTCTGCTTCACGTTCATCCTCATAATAATGGAGAATGTGTACGTATTTTGTCTATTTCCCTCAAACAAAATAACGATATCCTAATAACAGCTACAGTATTGTCATTAACAGATAATTAAACTTTATGATTTACTAACACTTACTTTATCTTAAGATAAAAACAAAATATAAACACTATCATCATTATTCACAATTTATTTTTGTCAACCCTTTTATTTTCTAGTGATTTTCTCCCATACACAATATCTGTGAACTCACAACTCATCTCGAGGATTACAACAACCCTTCTGAGTTAAACAAATATGTATATCAATATTTATTCATCATTGAAATACCATTATACATTGCACATGAATGATTAATGTCATCAGTATATTATTTGTGGTATTATTTTATAAACTTTTATCACAGAACATTGTATGAGGAAGGGTTAACTAATGTCAGAGGTACCAAACTCCCCCATACATCAATGTATCTTAAGTTATTGTTCAATTTCAATTCCACAGGACCACGGGGTCTAGATACCTTTTTGCTGACTGTACATTTGCCACCAAGAGACATGAAGCATGTTAAATTTTTAACCACTGACCCACAATTTCATCAAATGTAGAAAATGCCCGAGGCTGTCACTAATTATGGAGGTACCGGCCCATAAGTGATATAAAGAGGCTGGGAATCAAGAGACCATAGTTAGGTAGTGTGAGTCACTAAATCAATGAGACAAACTAATGTACAGTACTCTGACTCTTGAGTGACTATACAAGGTCACGTGTGTTTAAAACATTAATACAGTAATATTATTAAAATCTGAATAAATAATTTACCTATTTTTCAGATAAATTAATTATAAACCAACCCAAAAGTCAAATAAAACAGTGAACATGGATCGTGTAACAAGACAGATTATATCCTGACCATCTTTTACCTGGACATATTCTGGTCTAGGCCAGTAACACCCCCTAGTCGTGTCTGGCCGAGGCTAGTTTACATCAAACACATAAACTGGTCTAGGCCATAATGTATAAAACTGGTCAGCCACACCAGCAGTTACTTTATAGTGTAAACCCTGTACAGTACATACACACACACACACACACATTAGCTCACCGGATGTGTGTTTCACGTGTAAGTTATGAGTGCAGGAGCTGGAGACACACATGTGAATCCTCCTCCTCATAGCTGATGATGTAAGAAGACAGAAACTGTTTGAATTAATCTCAAGTAAAATTTTTTTTTACAGAAGTAACATCAATATTACTTGAAGAATAAAGTACAGTACAGTATCTTGACTATCTTCAGTCACTTACCACCAAATAAAATTAAAATAGAGGAACTTTTGGGGGAAAATATTTTCTACCTTAACTTTATCTCCTAAAAGTTACTAAGTGAACCTATCTAGTTAAGGTATTGTCTTTGCAATTTTGATTTTATTTAAGTAAGTCAGTTCTTGTGCCTGGGCTTAATAAGTCCTCTTCAATCATCAGTTATGAACCACATTCACTGTATGAACCTTTGTCAGTACACACACAGGTCATTTACTGCTTACCATCCACAAATCTGTATTCAATGGCACAAACATTACTTATATACATAACATGGGATTCGCTCTGTGGGGGGTAGGGGAAGAGGGAGTTTATACACCTGGGTTATGGGTTTTAGCAGCTCTGGAAAAACAAAAAACGAAAACAAAATAATAATAATAAAGAATATCTAAGTGATTCATCTATGGCAAATAAATCATCATTAGGTATTCAGGATGACACCGAGGATCTTCCATTGATTATATACAGCAAAAAAAGTCAACTTACCCCTTAAAAAAAAATTAACAAATAAAAAAAATCCAGTGAGCAAGATAAAAAAAAAGACTTTCATTATGTGATTAATACAAAAGTTGATGTCTCTTTTTTCCTTTTTTGTTTTTCTTTAATATTAGGCGAGATTGTTTCCCATGTCGTTGGTGCAAGTCGGCAAGTGCATCCCAGGTGTCTTGGTTTAACTTGGTACAGTGTACAGCATATGGAAGGTCCTACACGATGCTGAATCACGTCACTTCCTGTACCTGGGAACACACAAAACATCACCCTGTCAGTTCAAGTGTACTATACTGTACTATACTATACGAGTTAAGCGATGGAACACTAAGCTACCGTGAAAATTTGGAATGCATGTCTATTTCAGGCCAAAATCTTTATGTCTATTAGATGCAATTAACTATATAATTAGGTACATTTATCTTGTGTCCAACTTACATAACCATTTAATGTTAAGGTCTATATTATCTCATTTATATTTGTTTAGACACTGATTTTATTATATCGAAATTTATAGATCTATATCATGTTAACATCTACAGTATACATACAGTACAACATCTCTCAGAAAATACAACACACTGCCTTACAGATTTTCACGGCAATCACCTGAACACTTGTATTACACCAGCAACATTATCCTCACCTGTTGTGTGACGTTTCTCTCTGTTCTGGGAGACCTCGCACACCAACAAGCACTCACGCGATTGCCAGGTAAAATTGTAAGGTGGAGTGTATAAATTTCTTTGAGAAAACCTGTATACCAGCTATCTACTCATGCTAATCATCTATTATGGTACAGTAATGTACTTCTATTTCAAATAAAAAATGTAATATTCCACATCAGAATCTCATAACCGATCCCTATCACACATACACAATATTTCCTCATATATCTAGGAGGAAATCTTCACATTTTGACGAAAGAAATTATGGACAATGCTATACATGGTGGTCACACACATCATACTATCAGTCATTCTACAGTAGACCCTCTCTAGCTCACACACCCTACACCAGCAGTTCTTAGCCTAGTGGCAATGAAAGCTTGGGAAAGAGTTGAACACAACTGACTCGGTATACAGTATAATAAACAAGGCATCTCATAAAAATGTATACACATTTTCCTAGAGATTGTGTGAATGCTTGTGGGAAACCTTGCATACTGACAAATGAGGACAATGTTGCTGTTGTAATTAATACAGTACAAGTATTCATGTGATCTCTGTGAAATGCTTTAAGACACTGTGTACAGTATACGTTTTTCTGAAACATCCTGCAAACAGTATTCCCAATTTATTTATTTTTAATGTTTTTGTCTGTTTTTATATCCTCATTTACTTATTTTTTTAATTCCATAGGGTTCAGGGGCAGTTGCTAAAGGTTGTTCTTTGAGGGACACCACAGGTTGAGTGAGGGTTAGTCTTTGAGGGACACCACAGGTTGAGTGAGGGTTAGTCTTTGAGGGACACCACAGGTTGAGTGAGGGTTAGTCTTTGAGGGACACCACAGGTTGAGTGAGGGTTAGTCTTTGAGGGACACCACAGGTTGAGTGAGGATTAGTCTTTGAGGGACACCACAGGTTGAGTGAGGGTTAGTCTTTGAGGGACACCACAGGTTGAGTGAGGGTTAGTCTTTGAGGGACACCACAGGTTGAGTGAGGGTTAGTCTTTGAGGGACACCAGGGTTAAGGTTAGTCTTAGCAGGGTGCAGCTCCACATAGTGTAAGAGCCACTGCCCTAGACTGAGGCTCAATATAGTGTTGGGTTTATGACATTCACAGGTTTAAGTACAACAAAAGTGCAAATCACCCTGACATAACATCAAACTTATTTTACTATATCCCCTTTTTTAAATTGTGTGTTTTTACAGCTAGTATCTACAAAAGACTGCAAAATTTTCAAAGAACTCTTGATGTGTTACTGTACATTTGTTTCATGTAAAATCGTACACACTGTACTTCTGTCTCTTCACAATCTTCAGAACTATTTCAAACCTAAACTGCATATCCACTACATTGAATATCATGTTGGTTTGTTTTTAAGTCAATTTCAATATATCTACCTAAGTTCCTCAAACATACAAATATATTTACTGTAATTTCAAAACTTATTTTCTTGATAACTTAAAAAAAAAAGAAATAAAAAATTATTGTTAAAATTTGGCATTTCCACTATGAAATATTATGTACAGTCCTTTCACTAGTGCTTTTACAGGGGCTCAACATATCAACATTCCACAAATCATATTATTGAGATAACTGCATTTGTTTTAATATTATTTTAATTTGATTCCATAGTACAGGTATGTTTACTACTGTGAAGTTCCTTCTGTCGAATGTAAACAAACACAACACTGCCACACTGCACAAAACCTGATGAGCCCCTGTAAATGTACCAGTGAAGGGGACTGTACATTGCAGTATATGAGGGATGCTTCAGATAGGTACAGTACACACAAGGAAGTAAGGATAGTGTGTGGTGTGGTGGAGGAGGAAGAGAAACAACACCTGCATGGTTAATCTAAGCTTCCCTGGCTGACAAAAGTCCACCCCTCATCATAAAACTTTCGTGTCATTCAAACCAATACAGGCATCCCCCGCGTTACGGAATCCAGGGTTGCGGAATTTCACTCTTACGGAATTTGTAAATTATGACCAATAATTTCGCGACACGGCCCGTAAATCCGCCCTTACGGAAATTGCGGTAAATTTTAACAATTAAAAAAAATCACTAATAAAATTAAAATTTTGTGTTAAAAATTATAATTTGTTTGGTGTGGATTTCTTGGTGTTTGTTACAGCCAAGCGTGGCATCGCCACGCGAAGTCAGTCCATTGTTTACATCCAGTGTGTGCGCATGTTTCTCGGCCCAGCAGTTGGATTTAACTTTTACAAACATACAGTAAGTACAGTACAGTGCATTACCCTTATTCAAGATGACTGGAAAGAGGCCATCAAGTGGAAGTGACCGCAGTAGTGCAAAAAGAAGCCGCAAAGGCAATACATTGAATAGTAAACTTGATGTTTTAAGAAGGTATATCATAAATTATTTAATGTACTGTATTGTATGTTTTAAATGTTTATTTTCATTAAAAAAGTGCTTGAATTACTTTTTTGGGGCCGAAAAAAATTCCTTAGGAACGCATCTCCAGTTTTATAATGGAAGTCAATGGGAAAATAGGTTTCGCGTTACGGAATTTCGCTATACGGTCAATTTTCCAGGGACGCAACCCTTCCGTAATGCGGGGGACGCCTGTAATATATATAAATGATAAGATTTCTAGGATCACCTGAAGATCAGCCACCCTAGCTTATTCCACATTAACAGTGCCACCCTAATGCTAACCTACACCCCCCTACAGCATTATGGTGGTTAATCATCAAGTGAAATAAGATGATGGGGAAGCAGTTTAATGTTTAGATAATCCAAGTTTTACCTAGATTTATATTACAGATAAAGAAATTGAATGAGGTAAATTAGTAAGACAATAGGTCAGCCAATGTAAACCATCCAGACAGAGTTACCAGGAGGAGCCACAGGGACCAAGTGACCATCCAGAGAGTTACCAGGAGGAACCACAGGGACCAAGTGACCATCCAGACAGAGTTACCAGGAGGAACCACAGGGACCAAGTGACCATCCAGACAGAGTTACCAGGAGGAACCACAGGGATCAAGTGACCATTCAGACAGAGTTACCAGGAGGAGCCACAGGGACCAAGTGACGATCCAGACAGAGTTACCAGGAGGAACCACAGGGATCAAGTGACCATTCAGACAGAGTTACCAGGAGGAACCACAGGGATCAAGTGACCCAGACAGAGTTACCAGGGGAGCCACAGGGACCAAGTGACCATCCAGACAGTTACCAGGAGGAACCACAGGGACCAAGTGACGATCCAGAGAGTTACCAGGAGGAACCACAGGGACCAGTGACGATCAAGGAGTTACCAGGAGGAACCACAGGGACAAGTGACCCCAGACAGTTACCAGGAGGAGCCACAGGGACCAAGTGACCATCCAGACAGAGTTACCAGGAGGAGCCACAGGGACCAAGTGACCCCAGACAGAGTTACAGGAGGAGCCACAGGGACCAAGTGACCATCCAGACAGAGTTACCAGGAGGAACCACAGGGACAAGTGACCATCCAGACAGAGTTACCAGGAGGAGCCACAGGGACCAAGTGACCCCAGACAGAGTTACAGGAGGAGCCACAGGGACCAAGTGACCATCCAGACAGAGTTACCAGGAGGAGCCACAGGGACCAAGTGACCATCCAGACAGAGTTACCAGGAGGAGCCACAGGGACCAAGTGACCCCAGACAGAGTTACCAGGAGGAGGAGGGACCAAGTGACCATCCAGACAGAGTTACAGGAGGAGCCACAGGACCAAGTGACGATCCAGACAGTTACCAGGAGGAGCCACAGGGACCAAGTGACCCCAGACAGAGTTACCAGGAGGAGCCACAGGGACCAAGTGACCATCCAGACAGAGTACCAGGAGGAACCACAGGGACCAAGTGACCATCCAGACAGAGTTACCAGGGAGCCACAGGGACCAAGTGACCATCCAGACAGAGTTACCAGGAGGAGCCACAGGGACCAAGTGACGATCCAGACAGTTACCAGGAGCCACAGGGACCAAGTGACGATCCAGACAGTTAGCCAGAGCCACAGGGACCAGGTGACCATCCAAAGAGTTACCAGGAGGAACCACGGGATCAAGTGACCATTCAGACAGAGTTACCAGGAGGAGCCACAGGGACCAAGTGACGATCAGACAGAGTTACCAGGAGGCCACAGGGACCAAGTGACCATCCAGACAGAGTTACCAGGAGGAACCACAGGGATCAAGTGACCATTCAGACAGAGTTGCACCAGGAGGAACACAGGGATCAAGTGGCGATCCAGACAGAGTTACCAGGAGCCACAGGGACCAAGTGACCATCCAGACAGAGTTACCAGGAGGAACCACAGGGATCAAGTGACCATTCAGACAGAGTTACCAGGAGGAGCCACAGGGACCAGTGACGTCCAGACAGAGTTACCAGGAGGCCACAGGGATCAAGTGACCATTCAGACAGAGTTACCAGGAGCCACAGGGACCAAGTGACCATCCAGAGTTACCAGGAGGAACCACAGGGACCAGGTGACCATCCAAAGAGTTACCAGGAGGAACCACAGGACCAAGTGACCATCCAGACATAGTTACCAGGAGGAGCCACAGGGATCAAGTGACCATTCAGACATAGTTACCAGGAGGAGCCACAGGGACCAGTGACCCCAGACAGAGTTACCAGGAGGAGCCACAGGGACCAAGTGACCATCCAGACAGAGTTACCAGGAGGAACCACAGGGACCAAGTGACCATCCAGACAGAGTTACAGGAGGAGCCACAGGGACCAAGTGACCCCAGACAGAGTTACCAGGAGGAGCCACAGGGACCAAGTGACCATCCAGACAGAGTTACCAGGAGGCCACAGGGACCAAGTGACCATCCAGACAGAGTTACCAGGAGGAGCCACAGGACCAAGTGACCCCAGACAGAGTTACAGGAGGAGCCAGGGACAAGTGACCATCAGACAGAGTTACCAGGAGGAGCCACAGGGACCAAGTGACGATCAGACAGTTACCAGGAGGAGCCACAGGGACCAAGTGACCCCAGACAGAGTACCAGGAGGAGCCACAGGGACCAAGTGACCATCCAGACAGAGTTACCAGGAGGAACCACAGGGACCAAGTGACCATCCAGACAGAGTTACCAGGAGGAGCCACAGGGACCAAGTGACCATCCAGACAGAGTTACCAGAGACCACAGGGACCAAGTGACGATCCAGACAGTTACCAGGAGCCACAGGGACCAAGTGACGATCCAGACAGTTACCAGGAGCCACGGGACCAGGTGACCATCCAAAGAGTTACCAGGAGGAACCACAGGGATCAAGTGACCATTCAGACAGAGTTACCAGGAGGAGCCACAGGGACCAAGTGACGATCCAGACAGAGTTACCAGGAGGAGCCACAGGGACCAAGTGACCATCCAGACAGAGTTACCAGGAGGAACCACAGGGATCAAGTGACCATTCAGACAGAGTTAGGAGGAACCCAGGGATCAAGTGGCGATCCAGACAGAGTTACCAGGAGGAGCCACAGGGACCAAGTGACCATCCAGACAGAGTTACCAGGAGGAACCACAGGGATCAAGTGACCATTCAGACAGAGTTACCAGGAGGAGCCACAGGGACCAAGTGAGATCCAGACAGAGTTACCAGGAGGAGCCACAGGGATCAAGTGACCATTCAGACAGAGTTACCAGGAGGAGCCACAGGACCAAGTGACCATCCAGAGTTACCAGGAGCCACAGGGACCAGGTGACCATCCAAAGAGTTACCAGGAGGAACCACAGGGATCAAGTGACCATTCAGACAGAGTTACCAGGAGGAGCCACAGGGACCAAGTGACGATCCAGACAGAGTTACCAGGAGGAGCCACAGGGACCAAGTGACCATCCAGACAGAGTTACCAGGAGGAACCACAGGGATCAAGTGACCATTCAGACAGAGTTACCAGGAGGAACCACAGGGATCAAGTGACGATCCAGACAGAGTTACCAGGAGGAGCCACAGGGACCAAGTGACCATCCAGACAGAGTTACCAGGAGGAACCACAGGGATCAAGTGACCATTCAGACAGAGTTACCAGGAGGAGCCACAGGGACCAAGTGACGATCCAGACAGAGTTACCAGGAGGAGCCACAGGGATCAAGTGACCATTCAGACAGAGTTACCAGGAGGAGCCACAGGGACCAAGTGACCCATTCAGACAGAGTTACCAGGAGGAGCCACAGGGACCAAGTATGATCCACAGAGAGCACAAGAGGAGCCACAGGGATCAAGTGACCATCCAGAGTTACCAGGAGGAACCACAGGGACCAGGTGACCATCCAAAGAGTTACCAGGAGGAACCACAGGGACCAAGTGACCATCCAGACATAGTTACCAGGAGGAGCCACAGGGACCAAGTGATGATCCAGACAGAGTTACCAGGAGGAGCCACAGGGACCAAGTGACCCCAGACAGAGTTACCAGGAGGAGCCACAGGGACCAAGTGACCATCCAGACAGAGTTACCAGGAGGAACCACAGGGATCAAGTGACCATTCAGACAGAGTTACCAGGAGGAGCCACAGGGACCAAGTGACGATCCAGACAGAGTTACCAGGAGGAACCACAGGGATCAAGTGACCATTCAGACAGAGTTACCAGGAGGAACCACAGGGATCAAGTGACCCCACAATTACATCAGCAAAAAATCAATCAATGTCAGTACAGTGTATTTTAATTGTTCCTTGTTTTAAAGTGCTCCATAATTGTCACTGCAGGAAATGTTTAATTACCACACAGGTACACTCTCACCAAAAACCTCCCTTACGCTATAAGCAATATGCAATCTGAAAAACGAACGAAGAATCTGAAACCATTCCTAAATGACAAGCCCCATTCTGTTTGCTCTCACATCCATCGCGCCCAGGTGTAGGAGAAGTTTTTGTTGAGAGTTTACATTTGGGGATATTTCACAACCTGTCATTTCTGGATCAAATATTTTTTTCTTTCTTCAGCTATTACCCCTTAAGTCCTTGATGTCTGGAATTGTTCACTGGTTCACCACACTTCCACATCACTACCTCCCTGTTACATATTTAATCTTCACTATGCGCCTCCATGTCAACAAAATGTGTCTAAGGAAACCATAGCACTTGTGTCAGTTTGGTTATTTTATAAATTTTTGAACATTCCTGCACTTAGTCACCTGTACTTCATTACTATTCTCTAACACTCAGTATTATTAGGTATACAGTATAGTCTGAGTTTACGCGGATATTTTAAACGCGGACGGCCATTTACGTGGCACCTGTCCAGAAGCGATAATTATTATTTATGAGGTAAATGCCATCATATACGAAGCAAGCGGTGGGGCAAGGTACTGGGCGCCGATGTCAGACTCGTGCCAGTGACGCCACGGACTGTGATTGGGCCACGTATCCTTACCACCCACGCACCCCCTCCGTCGCGTGCAGTGATTGGTCTAGTTATCCTTGCCACCCTCGCCACAATCGCTCTCCACCGCCACGTCAGTCTCACTGTCTCTGTGTATATCCACTTGTGCCCAGGAACCAGTGTTATTTTTTCTTTCTACACAATGGCTTCCGCGAGGCTCAGTCTGTTGCTGTGGCATTGGAGAATGCAAGCGAGGCTGCACAAGGTGTTAGAGCTGCAGGCTTCTCTGAGACCACCAACGATGACATCGTTGGAGGTAATCAGGCAACCTGAGGTGACTGCGGACGAGATGTTAGAAGATGATGACATCAGTGAGCAGCGAGGTGTTACAGAACAACAAGAGCAGAAACTAACACATGTTGATGTGAAGGAAATCATCGAGTTAGCTGAGAGAATGAAGCTCATCCTTGCCAAAGACCCAGTCAATCATCGCTACGAAGTGTCTAATAACCATCTGTTGAAATGCCAGGAGCCCTATGTTCAACTGTATCACGACCACATCAATGCTGGCCATCAACAAAACATTACCGAGTTCTTCACCCGCTACCCACCACAGCCAGCCCAAGTCAGTGATGGTGAGAATGTGGACTTCGAGGGGTTTGACGAGGAGGCCCTGATAGCCTATGTGGTGGATAGAGAGACAGGCGAGGGCCAATAATCTACCACTCTGCCTCGGAACCAACCCCCCATCCCCGTGTGCCCAGCCATCTTTTCTACTAACATAAGTGTTAAAAAACCCAATATTATTGATATTTCTCTTATATATTAATTGTGTGTGCATACCATCATAAAATTAAGATGTTATTTTTACTACAATGTACAGTATTGTGTCGGCGATAGCCAAAAAAAGGGTAGTCTGGCGGTCGGCCCAGTCTCTATTTCAATTAATCCCATATGTTCTGTTATTTTATTTACGCGTTTCGCTTTATACGCGGACCTCCATGGGTTTTATTAACCGCGTAAAACCAGACTATAATGTGCTGTACAAATAACCTTTCAGTGTGACATCATTCTCCTACATTTACCATATAACCTTCTCCACAAACTCACATGAAGACAAATAAACTCATCTCTCACACCACAGCCACCACCACTACCACCACACAGTCACTTAGCCAGTTGCCTGATTCTTCTACCTTTCCTCATTTACTCTCATGTAGTGCATTCTTAACTTTCATATTTGGAATACTCACATCCTTTGTAAAGTAAATTTCAGGTTGACGGCTGCTTCACTGTATTAGGATAATATTGTTCGGAGGAAATTTACACTGGCTAACTTACCTAACAATATACACACAGTATACCAAAAAATAACATTAGGCTCGTATATGTGTTAAAACTATTATTTGAAAATTTGTTGAATAAAAATAATTAAATAAGTGAACATAAAACACAATTTGCTTAAAATTTTAAATTAAAAACACACAGTATTCAAAACTGTTTTCACCTCTCCTTTTTGGATGAAGAAAACGAAGTATTTTTCCTTACAGGGCACCGGTACAGCCGATGTCGTGATAACTCTATGGGTCTTCTGAAACCCTCCTTACACTCCAAACACTGGAAGGGCTTGTGCGGGCTGTGGTGTTCACGGAAATGTGACTGGAGGGAGCTCTGGAGTTTGTACGAAGATTCACAGAAGAGACACGCAAACGGCTTTTCTGTGGTGGAGAACTCAGTGCACGTGGTATTTTGTAACTTAATGCCCATGCGATATCTAGTCTCTACGGTGCCCAGCCCATTGTCGTATACTAACACGGGCATGTGATACACACGCACGTGCATTTTGAGGGCCAGAGCAGATTCACACCTTGCTCGGCAGTACATGCACAGAAACAGCTGAGCCCCGTCCTCCTCCCTGATGACCCCAACTTTTAACTTTTCGTCAGGTGAGAAGAAGGCAGGATCTGTGTCAAACACTATATTGGGTGGTGGCTGTGCTGGTTTCTGTGGTAGTGACATCTGACTCCCAGTTCCATCATCATCAACATCTATGTCTGGTTCAACCTCCATTATCATCACACCCTGTGGGCACAAACAATAATATTAAGACAAAAGATAACCTGTTTAAACAATAATAATAATAATAATAATAATAATAATAATAATAATAATAATAATAATAATAATAATAACAATGTGCTGCTGAAGGCACTACTAGGCTTTGTGAAATGACAGGTTCAACAAGTCAAGTTCATACAGTATTTCGATTTTTGCTATGGAGAAGGGAATATGGATCACATGAAGATTAGCCACCCCAGCTTATTTCACCTGGGGTGGGCGAATTACGTGAAGTTGGGTTGGGTTGGGTTGGTTAAGTCATTGTACTTTCTCTAAGGGGTGAAGCCATTGTACTCAAGGTTAAGTCATCATACTCAGGGGTTAATAATTGGTAACTGTCATGATTCTCTACTGTATGTTACATTTGCCTCAAGTCCCAGGTGGTGTGGGTAGTGGTCAAGAGACTGTGCTGGTATCTGGGCATAATAAATATTTTCTTTAACATTCATTACAATCTGTACCATTCTTGATGTCCTTATGAATTTGAATACAACTAAACCTTGACTATGATAACTTAATAACTCTTTCTATACAGAAATCTTGTTATGTGGTATACGCGTTAGTGTCCAAATAACACCGTGACAGCTGACTGTGAGTGCACGTACCACACTAAGCCATGGATGTTTTCAGATGGAAGGAAAGCACAGTCTAGGCCTTAGTTATACACCACTTGGTAGCAACACTCTTCTGTTATGTCAACATAGTTTCGGGAAATACTGACAAAATGAAACGTCCTGAAAATCACCCATGACAATCCACACCCACTTTTCATATTGCCTCCTCGACCAATTACATTGTTTTTTGAAAAATCGTTTTATAACAACCCCCCTTAGATGTTTGAATATGTAGCTGATGCCATGATAGTGGCCAGTACTCTCTTGTATTTTGTGTGGTTAAGATATGCTTCATTGTCTGTAGTCATGGCATCATTACACATCTGATAATGAAGACGAGTTTGAAAATGAGAACTCAGAAAGTGATGATAAGCTTTCAGAGGAATATGCCAGTGATTATGATCCTGAAAAAGAGAGAGATATTAGTGAAGACAGTAATAGTGGCAAAGCTATCAGCCAGCAATGGCTCATGCCCTCTCCCTGGCCCCTCCACCTCCACTCATAGCAGACCCATTTGTTGACAGATAAAAGACTAGACATCTCTTTGCAAGAACTCAACATCACTCACAAGGTAAATAAACATAACAGTACTCTGTGTATGCTATAATCAGTGTTGTATGTTGACGCCGTTAATTTAAAGCCGTCAATGGACGGCGGCAACTTTTTGTTAATGCCAACGCTGACAGCATAAATTTTTTGGGCAGGTGACGCTACTGGTGATGCGGTCAGCTTTTCACCCGAGCGGAGCGTCAAGCATCAAGCGTTAATTTGTTCGTCAACTTCTAAAATTTTTTATTTTTCCAAGTTTGATTTTCAATTATCTTGTTATAAAGATGATCGGGAAAAATTTTGCTGCACCCGCCGCCCACGCACCTGCGCAGCTTTCTACAGATTTCAATTTTCAAGTCAGGAAAAAGGCCACCAACCAGCTGTCCAGGTTGGTGGAGAAGCCCGTGCACGAGACTGAGAGCAGCAGTGAGGGAGACGACAAAGACCATGATGTGGAGGACCAATTGTTCCAGGCCCTGTCGAGACCCCCCCCCCTCCCCGGGGGAGAAACCTTAAAAAAAAACTTCGACAAGGACACCTTCCCCAACAAGGCCATGAGGGAGTTGTTCATCAAATACAACACCCCCATCCCCTCTAGTGCTGCCGTGGAGCGCATGTTCTCCATGGGCAAGGACGTCTGCTTATTCCCGCCAATGTTTAAATGCCCAGCACGGGTTATCAGGTTCCAGTATGACTATTTGCCTGTCACACCATACCTCGGCCACAAGGAAGCTTCCTGAACATAATTACCTACTTTTGTTTGTTTCACTTTCATTGTTTGTCTATTTTATCATGTTGTATCAAAGTAACATTGCTAGAAGTAGTGTAGTTGTATTGTAGTGTAATATTACTGGAAAATGCTATGATTATGTTATAAATGTTTTTATTTGTGGAATTATTATTACAGTATTTTATGCATTACTTGCTCTACCAAACACAACGGCAGACAGGCGACCAACTGGTGAATGTTGCCAAGCACATTTTATGAAAAATAATGCAAATAAAACATTCTAAATGAATTATTTATCGCAAATAATTATTAGATCAGTAAATATATGTATTATTGACCACCTCAGACACAAAGACAAGCTAAAAATAGCTGCTAAGCGCGTAAGGACCACGAGCGTCAGCCGTCAAACCAACACTGTCTCCTTATTTCCCCCTCTCCGCACAGCCAGAGAAGTTTCTAGAGGGTCAATATATAGTTTTTCTGACTTATTTTTTATTGTTTTATCATTTAAAAAGGTTAAAAATTATTATTTTGAGAAGTTGATTTTTCTTGATTTATCCCCATGCAGGGAGGGGGGGGGGTACTTGCCAGCAGCACCCTAACCCAGGGCTTAAGGGTAAACCGATCAAGATGAAAATTAGTGGACCCCCCTCAAAAAAAAAGGGGGTATAGGCTCATAAATTTTAAGCTGTCGGTAGGGATGGGAACGAAGACAACTCACTAGCTGTTGAATGCTAAGACTTGGGTTCAGCACCTGCCTTAGCCACCTTTAGGGGTTCAGCAACTGCCTTAGTCATCTTTAAGGGTTCAGCACCTGCCTTAGTCATCTTTAAGGGTTCAGCAACTGCCTTAGTCATCTTTAAGGGTTCAGCACCTGCCTTAGTCATCTTTAAGGGTTCAGCACCTGCCTTAGTCATCTTTAAGGGTTCAGCAACTGCCTTAGTCATCTTTAAGGGTTCAGCACCTGCCTTAGTCATCTTTAAGGGTTCCTTCTAAGTCATCTTTTAAGGGTTCAGCAACTGCCTTAGTCATCTTTAAGGGTTCAGCACCTTAGTCATCTTTGGTTCAGCACCTGCCTGCCTTAGTCATCTTTAAGGGTTCAGCCTGCCTTAGTCATCTTTAAGGGTTCAGCACCTGCCTTAGTCATCTTTAAGGTTCAGCACCTGCCTTAGTCATCTTTAAGGGTTCAGCTTAGTCATCTAAGGGTTCAGCAGTCATCTTTAAGGGTTCCTGCCTTAGTCATCTTTAGGGTTCAGCACCTGCCTTAGTCATCTTTAGGGGTTCAGCACCTGCCTTGAGTCATCTTTAAGTTCAGCACCTGCCTTAGTCATCTTTGGTTCAGCACCTGCCTTAGCCACCTTTAAGGGTTCAGCAACTGCCTTAGTCATCTTTAAGGGTTCAGCACCTGCCTTAGTCCCCTTAAGGGTTCAGCACCTGCCTTAGTCATCTTTAAGGGTTCAGCACCTGCTCTTAGTCCTTTAAGGGTTCAGCACCTGCCTTAGTCCTGCTCTTAGTCAAGGGTTCAGCACCTGCCTTAGCAGGGTTCAGCACCTGCCTTAGTCCCCTTTAAGGGTTCAGCACCTGCCTTAGTCATCTTTAAGGGTTCAGCACCTGCCTTAGCCACCTTTAAGGGTTCAGCACCTGCCTTAGCCACCTTTAAGGGTTCAGCACCTGCCTTAGCCACCTTTAGGGGTTCAGCACCTGCCTTAGCCACCTTTAAGGGTTCAGCACCTGCCTTAGTCCCCTTTAGGGGTTCAGCACCTGCCTTAGTCCCCTTTAGATCATAAAGAGAAAAGACTTTGTGGCAATAGAATTACATTTACAGCATTATCATTTATTCAGCATCTCAGGCTTAGCCAGGATATTGAATAAGGAGGGACCAGGGGCATCAGATATGGGTGGGAAGTAGAAAAAGGGAGAGCATTTGATCTTGAATTAATTTATAGAAAGGAAGGATGTCAATGAAATAATATAAAAGTGATAAGTAAATACTTAAGGGAAGTGTGCATTGGACAGATGAAAGGAAGTAGAAAGAACTGGCAACACTTCAAGCACTGTATATGATTTTGACACAAACTTATTTTTTATGATCTTCCAGTTTGTATCATTTATTGATTTTATAACCTTGCAGACACCTCATATTAGTTATGTATAGCTGAAGTTCTAATCACTTATATTTACAAAGGTATAGTTGTAATAAAGTGTATGGGTTCAGGAGTGTGTGTGTGTGTTACGTTGGCTCGAGAAGGCAGTCCTGACCTTCTTTTTTTATATGGGGAATAGCCCACCCAGGCACAGGTCATCGAACCACAATGGGGCCTGGATAGAGAGAGGGGCAAAAAAATTAGAGTAAAAAGAAATTAAAATAGAAAAGAAAAAGATTATATTAATCTACACCACAATGATGCAGGAAAACCAGCTTTTTGAAGTGAGACATTGTATGAGTGTTGAAACACAGAAGGCAGAGCATTCCACAGTCCGTTTCTACCTGTTTATTAGTTTATTTTGGCTATTTAGTATGTGAGTGTGTGTCTGTGTGAGTTAGTTCACATTATCAAGGGGTTAAATAAAAGTAGTTTTCTTTAATGCCATATCTTCTAAGTCACAAATGCAGTGTTGCTTTAAAAATTTCATACATAATTTAAAAATTCCAATAATTAGTACAATGAGAAACCACATAACCAATACACAGAACCTGTCTATATAAATTAGGTGTCAGTACAGTCGGACACTAGCCCAATACAGTACATTTCTTTTGACACTAAGCTGCTGGAACGAGTCTGTCTCCAAGTGGCCTACCCACCAATACCTGCCTGGCCACTTTACTACAAGTTAGCAACTACCTTCAGAGTGTCAAAGTACCTAGAATATAATCTCTGAGATGAGTACTTGTACATGTTAAGAGAGAAAGATGAACTTAGCTGCTGCCAACATCAACTACAGAACAGTACACATTAGTTAGGAGCTTCACTGTCACTCTCGACTACAATATACAAGCGAGGGTCTTGTACTTGTGCATCTGATAACATTATATACATGTGTGAGCCTCTACTCCTGCTGCCACCACCCACCACTTCAACATTATTTGATTTTAAAGTTTCTGACGGCTGTTCCTCGCTCTTTAATACCACAAATTCCTGTGGTACATTTACAGTATCCTCTGGGCAGAATGCACCAGGATAAATTTTAATGTTCTGATGTAGTTTTTGTTGGTCTTCAGACTCCCCTACACTCACAACAGCTGCACTTGGCTCCTCTATGTCTATTGCTGACATGTCACCTTCTAAAACCACTTGGTTATTATTCCTCTCAGTTTCTTTCTTAATTTCCCCCTCATCTATGTGAGTAATAGCAAAAACCACAGAATCGTTGCTGGAGAATTTATCTGTAATGATTTCTGAGACCACAGGAATGGGCTGGCTGTCAACATGTGGTAATGTCTGAGTGTACGAGTCCACATATTCATAACTGACAGGATCAACAGTGGCAGCCATGGCCTGCTCCAACACATCTAAAGAATCATGAACGACTCTAGGAGACGTCTGCACTCCAAGTTCCTCTCTAACTATTGTCCTCTTTAGTTTGATCTGTCTCAGTCTGTTGGCTTCCTCTTTTGGATGATTTTTCTTGCGGTGGTGTCTCAAGGCACTGTGGTTACGAAAGGCAGTCCCACAGTACACACACTTGAATGGCATTTCGCCAGTGTGCAACTTATGATGAGCTGTATAATGATGCCTTAAACTGAAACTGTTACCACAAACTTCACAAACAAAGTTCTTGGCTCCAGTGTGCTTCACCATATGCTGTTTCAGTGTTCCACCATTTCGAAAATCCTTACCACATGTAGTGCATTTATAAGGCTTTTCTCCACTGTGAATCCTTAGGTGTCTCTTGTATGAACTATTGACAGTGAACTCTTGATTACAAATGTCACATTTATAATGCCTTTCACCAGTGTGAATCACATTATGTTTCCTCAGATCTGCTTGTCGACGAGTGGTATAATTACAACAGTTACAAGAAAAAACTTTAGCCTTACCAATCTCGTGACTGTCCATATGATACCGGAAACCTCCAGCCGAATTGAATCTTTTACCACAGTATTCACATATATATTTGCAACCCTGAACTCCATCTTTATCCAAGTTTCTCGTGTTTCCTTCAAAATGATCCACCTCTGCTCTTTTAATTATCCCCAAATTTTTCCTGGTCTTTCTGTCTACGGCAAGAGGATCCACCTCATCTGCTATGATTTCTTTTGCCTTTGCCGTGAGTCGTCTTTTCCGTTTCCCTAATGAAGGATGGCTTGAAATTTCTGAGAATAAGTTGGCTAATGTCTTCCTGTCCTGTGTTGTGCTTGATTCCTCTGAGGAGTCCTGGAGATCATGATACTTACTACTGACTTTAAGAGGCTCTGAGAACATATCTGTCTCTTTTGGGATCTCTGAGGTTTCTCTGGTGCTTAGTTGCTTCTTCCCTTCATTCTTCTTATAATACAGACATTCAGAGACAGACGTTCTTGTTGTGGATCCAGTCGAGTCCTGGTCCAGGAGGAGAGTTTCCCCGACGACTATGTACGACTCCTCCAAGGAAGTGTGCACATCATCCTTACATGTTGAGCCAGTGACACTCTCACTGCTTGACAGTGTATTATCTGAATCCTGTGTCCTAGATGATGTATCAGATACTGGTGGCAACTGGAGGAAGTCATTCTTTGGCATTCTGTTGCCGGCTTTTTCTTCAAAATCTAAATGTACTGGCTTTTTACCATCTATCATGAAAGAGCTCGAGTCACTTTTGAAAAAGGAATGATCAACGTCTCTACATTCACCATCTATTTTTCCTACAAAAATGTTCCTCTGCAAACAAATTTCTGCCTTTTCATTTTGTTCACATATAAGACTTTCAACACTTGTAATTCCACTAAGTATATCTGTGCTAGTAGTTTTATTACAAATTTCATCTTTAATGTGTGTGAGCACATCACCAGCTATTGGAATACTTTCAAAGGTTACTAAATTATGAGACATATCATTAATACTTTTACTGACAGTCTTGGCCTCCCGAGTTTGTGTGTCCTCAGAATATGCCTCAACTCTCTTCTCATCATCCTCACTATGACACTTATCAATGAGTATTTCATTCTCAACACTAACCTTGGCATACTTTAAACCTTGATTCACAATATGCATTTTTCCTTTGCCAAGATGATTTTGAACTTTCAGATCCCACACATAGCATTTGTCATCAATAAATTCTAAGTTAGAATCACAACCCCAAGGAACAAATATTCCATAGCAAGTCAGGCAAGTTTCACAATGCAGATAGAACACTCCAGACTGACTTTCTCTACAAAGACTACACTCAAGATAAGAACAATCAGTACAATGGGTGTGTGTGTGGTTCTCATCTGCTGCCTCCATCAAGTATGAAGAAAATTGATTGTACACAGATTGACAGTTCTCCGGGGCACCACATTTTGGCTCTTTGTCTTTTTTATCACACGAAAAGTTACTATGAGTTTTTCCAAAGTCAACACAAGATTTTCTACACACATCAGTTTCCACAACAGAGTGGGGGCTTCTGTTCATTACTCTCATTTGAGGAATATTATTTATCTTGGTATCAAGCTGGTATGAACGAGGCTGATGTGACTTTGATGGTAGTGCATCTTTGATAATCTCTTCTCCAGTAACTCCCTGGCCCTGAAAGTAAATGGGCCTCATGAATTATGCAGAATTATTACTATCAAGATCATCTGACACTAACAGATGCCTATACCATCAAAGTCACATTTCCATTTGCAGCAATGACTAAATTTACCTGGACAGAAACACTGAAGATTTATTTAACCATATTACAATTTCATATACAGTATATCAGGGTTATCGACAAAGTGATTAATAGTTGCAAAAGATGGTTCTTATGTTCTATGTAGACTGTAGCAGGAAAAAGCTTATGAAGAAAAATGACTGAGACAATGAGGTGAAGGGTTCTGGAAGGGAAGAGAATGAAATGGGAGTTTGATGTCTCATACACTAATCCAAGTCTGCTGAAACTTAACATAAAGGTGGGTGGTGGTGGTGAATTATTAGAAACCTTAAAAGATTTCATTACTTGGGATCAAAGGAGTGCAAGCATGGCAGAATGGATGGCAGAATTGAGGAAAAAGCTGACAGTGGATCATGGAAGGCATTATGAAAGGGATAATTGCAATCACAAACATAAGACACAATGATACCCCAGTAATCACACAACCAATGAGACAGACAAACAGACTTCAGGATGGGAGGGAATAAATGTGGGTGAAGACTACACAAGATATTATAATACTACAGATAAAGATGCAAGTATTGCATATGAAGTCTAAGATTGGGCTAGGAGAAATATTTTGACGTGGTCTGGTTACAAGTAGAATTTGTTAGGTCAGAAGTCTCTCCACGAGTGACATAAAATGGACTGGGGGCACAGAGGTGACAGCAGCCAAACAACTGTCCAGGGCAGGGAGCACGGAGAAGTCTATTTACTGTGGAGGATATATGGGGGAGGGAAGGAGGGAGGGAAGAAGGGAGGGGGGGGAGGAGGAGGGAGGGAGGAGGGAGGGAAGGAGGAAAGAAGGAGGAAGAAGGAGGGGGAGGAGGGAGGGAGGAGGGGAGGAGGGAGGAGGGAGGGAGAGGAGGAAGGGAAGGAGGGAGGAGGAAGGGAGGAGGAGGAAAGGGAGGGGAGGAAAAAGGGGAGGGAGGGAAAAGGAGGGAGGGAAAAGGGAGGAGGAGGGGAGGGAGGGATAAGATCAACTAGCAATAAAAGCATTACCTCGCCATCATTGTCGCTGCAGATATCATGTCCATCTTCAGATCGTGGTGCTGTTCTACCCCTCCCTCGACCGCGTCCCCTGCCACGACCAACGTCATCGGCTCGACCTTTCCAACCTCTACCTCTTCCTCGTTTCCGGGCAGTGGTTTGTGACATCTGAATACACCGAAGGCATCGTGGCTTCAGCATCTGTAATGGTAAAAATTGTCTCATTGATCATGGGTTCAAAGAAACAATGAAGACTGCCTTGCATGTGTAGAGTAGAATGATAGAGAATGTAAATTTTTCTTTCACTTCCAAGCATTATGTAACATTGTTGAAATCAAGAACGAAGAGTCTTATCTCTTTTATCAACTCTGGTTTTTGGTTATTGATTATAAAAAAAAAAGTCAGCTGCTACTCTCAAACTCATTTACTGTATATGTACAGTACAGGATAGCAGTTTTTGCAGTATTATTGTACCTAACTTTAATACTCTCAAATCTGCTTTATACGCAACCACTATTCAGATTCCAGTAGTAGAGTACAGTGCATCCTCGTATAACGTCGTTCCGCTTAATGTTGTTTCGGTACTATGTTGCTAAACTTTAGAGACCCAAAATTTGTTTAACGTCCCGGGGATCCGATACTATGTTGTTTTGCGTTGTCACGGACTACTTTCTACAGCGCATCGCCCACTCTAGTCTGGCCGCGCTTAGCTTTCTCGGCTCGCTGCCCTCACCCGTGGAACGTCACAGCGTCCCCAAGCCAGTCTCTGTTACGACTTCACATCATTCGTGTGTGCTTAAGTGCTTTTGCTCTAAAACTGTACTATAACCATTTGAAATGGCTTCCAAGTGCCCATCAAGTGCTACTGATGCTAGTGCAGTGAAGAGGCAACGTAAGACCATTACCCTTGCTACGAAAATGGATGTATTAACCCGATTTGAAAAAAGGGAACGTGCTGTGGACATAGCCGCTACGCTAGGTCTAACCCCCACAACGGTGCATACTATCCGGACCAATGCTGACAAGATTAAGGTTAGTGCTGGAAGTGGTACTACTCTCAGTGCAACTAAAACAACTCGTACTAGAAGTACTGTGATAGAAAAAGTGGAAAAGATGCTGGCTATGTGGACAGAGGACCAGAATCAATGCAATGCACCTGTGAGCCTTATGGTTATCCAGCATAAGGCCAGATCCTTGTTTGACGACGTAAAGGAAGAAGAGGGTAAAGGATCGAAGGAAGAGACCTTTACAGCCAGTTGAGGTTGGTTTCAAAGATTTAAGCGCAGATATAACTTCCACAATATTTATATGACTGTTGAAGCTGCCAGTTTAGATATGGCTGCTGCCGAGACATTCCTGCCAGAATTCAAACGGATTATCCAGGAAGGAGGATACTCATCGAAGCAAGTCTTCAATGTGGATGAGACTGGTTTCTTTTGGAAGAGGATGCCTGAGAGGACCTATATCTCCAAGGAGGAGAAAAGAGCACCAGGTTTTAAAGTGGCAAAAGACCACTTGACACTGCTGCTTGGCACGAACGCTGCTGGCGACTTCAAGCTGAAGCCGATGTTGATTTCTCGCGCTGCCAACCCAAGGGCCCTGAAAGGTTACTCTAAGGATCACCTTCCAGTCATTTACAAGGCAAACAAAAAGGCATGGATAACCAGCGCCATAGTTAAACATGTACGCCGTCCCCACAATGAAGGAATACTGTGCCAAGGAGAACCTTGACCTCGAAATTCTTCTAATCGTTAACAATGCTCCAGCTCATCCTCCCAATCTCGACGACCTGCATGACATTGTAAAAGTTGTATTCCTGCCTTCCAACACGACAGCACTGATGCAGCCAATGAACCAAGGTGTCACTGCCACATTCAAGGCGTATTATTTACGCCTTACCATGGCCCAGCTGCTCAAGGCTACAGATGGAGAAAATAAACCAACGATCCGATAATATTGGCGCGGCTTCAACATTCTTCATGCAATTGACAACATTGGCAAGGCACGGGAAGAGGTTTCAGAAAGTTGCCTCAATGGTGTGTGGCGTAACTTGTGGCTCGAGTGTGTCAACAGTTTTACAAGATTCACGGACTTAGTCCCAGCTGTGAATAGGGATATCCTCAGCTTGGCTGGACAGGCAAGCTTTGATGAGCTGGAATCAGAGGATATTGAGGAAGACCTGGCATCCCATACAGAAGAGCTCACCAACGAAGATCTGCAACATCTTACAGAACACAGTCCCGTTGAAGACGACGACGAAGAAGAACCTCAACGAATGCTAATTTCCAAGAGGATGGCAAAATCGTTCAACATGTTCCAGCAAGCAATGCAAATCCTTATAGATGACGACCCAAACAGAGAACGTAGCTCAAAGGTTCAACACAGAATTGATGACAGTCTTGGTTGTTACACTGAGATCTATAAGGAGAAGAAAATTAGCACCAAGCAGTCAACACTGGATTCATTTGTTCGTCGCAAGATGGCAGAAGCAGCTTCTTCATAACAGCTGGCAGCCGAGAAGGAGCACAAAGCAGCCGAGGAGGAGCAAATAACAACGGAGGAGGAGCAAACAGCGGCGGAGGAACCCAGTCAGCGCAGGAGGATGAGGAAGCAGCTGCAGTGTCAGTGACTCACCACCATCCTCCTCTCCCGCCCGCCGCCTCCTCCGCTCCAACCATCCGCCTCCTCCACTTCACTACCTACCACACACTCGCTCCACCACCTCGACCATCGGTGAGTACCAATACAAACTTACCGGTAATACAGTACTGTACTATACTATTTTCTATTGAAATGGTTATGATTTTCTGTATATGTAATGTTTTTCAGGGGGCAAAGGGAGGCTCAGGAACGTGTCTCCCGAATTTTATAAATTTCTTATGGGGAAAATTGATCAGGTTAACAGTGTTTCAAATAACGTCATGTTTTTAGGAACGTAACCCCGCTTTAAGCGAGGACTTACTGTACCTCTCTATTCTGAATGATTGTGTCAAATACCAAACTCTTCCTTAAGTATAATATAATACTGTACTGTAATACAATGATCTAACATAACTTAGAAATAAGGAAAATATAAAACTATAATATAACAAAACTGAGGAGTTGGGAACTTAATTCTGTGTGGGAGACATGGTAAGAAAGGCTGATTGCCACCAGTGATGTAAACAAAAGTAATTGGAAAGAAAATGATCTGTAAATCTTCATTTGCATCAGGCATTTGCAGATTTGAAGCAGCATAAATAAATATAGCCAATGAGGTTCTGTTCTTCCTGTAGCAACATAAAGAAATAATCTAGTGGTATGGTAGGAAAGCCCAGGTTAAAGGAGCTTACTGGTAAGGACAGCCATCACAAGCATGTACCTGGTAGCTACCATTAACAGTAAATGACACTTGAAAATGTATGAACATTATTACATATCCAGAACATATGATTACCTACTGTATTCAGTAATGTAAAGTAGTACCCCGATTTACTCGGTCAATTGAACCCACAGGGTACCGCGGAAAGTGAAAACTGCGTAAAGTGAACAACAGAACATATGGGATTAATTCCAATAGAGACTGGCCCGACCCCCAAACTCCACTTTTTCCGACACAATTCATATGTTGTAGTAAAAATAACATCTAAATTTTATGATGGTATGCTCACACAATTAATATTTAAGAGAAATACAGTCGCCAGGTTAATGTCCATTCAAATAATGGACTCAAATCCCACCCCCCCCTCTTCCCAGCTCACTAGCTCCTACCTCTCTGATTAATGTTTGGGTGAAAACTCTAGATTTTAACGTTTAGTAATAAATAATACCTCAGACTAAAGTTAGGATAATATAATTGACATTTCTGGATTCCTTGCAGGTCAGGGAATATTTTGAATGTAAACTTCATATATTTTGCACAAAAGATAAAATATTTGCTTTGTGTAAACCAAATTATTACTTTAGATCTAAAATTTGTATGTCTAATGCAAAATCCATGATGTTTATATTCAAAATGATCATCATATTGTAAGAATTCCAGCAATGTAAATTACATTCTGGCCGGGTAATTTGTATGAATTTTATGAGTTAAAACATATATCTTCAGTAAATAAACAAAGAAATATTCTTCAAGGACATAATCTGTCAATCAAAATACTCCGCCCTAGCTGGGTCCGTCCCTCCCTCCCTACCAGAGAAGCGATTGGGAGAAAATAGAATATTTACATTTTTAGTAATAAATAATAACTCAGACTAAAGTTAGGATAATATAATTGACATTTCTGGATTCCTTGCAGGTCAGGGAATATTTTGAATGTAAACTTCATATATTCTGCACAAAGGATAAAATATTTGCTTTGTGTAAACCAAATTATTACATTAGATCTAAAATTTGTATGTCTAATGCAAAATCCATGATGTTTAGATTCAAAATGATCATCATATTGTAAGAATTCCAGCAATGTAAATTATATTCTGGCCGGGTAATTTGTATGAATTTTATGAGCTTCACCGCGTATATGAGTAGATGCACCGCAGAAAGTGAAAGTCTGGTTCTGGCAAGGTACCACGTAAATGAGAAATCGTGGAAAGTGAAACCGTGTAAAGCTGGGTAATACTGTACTGTATTTACCAGTACAGTCAACCCTCACATTACGCGGTCCCGCATTCCGCGGTTCACCGTTAACGCGGTGCCCTGCCGGAACCTAACATGCTCACATTCCGCGGTCGTGAACCCCATTACGCGGAGAGCGGCTGGCAAGCCGCGCCATTTTTGGATCCAAACCTCCCGCCATCCGCCATGTTGTGTACGAGGCGCGAAAATGGTGCGCACAAGGTCGCCCAGTCATCAAAACATTACCAGTTCTTCACCCGCCACCCACTACAGCCGGCCCAAGTCAGTGATAGTGATAATTATAGTGAGGATATGGACTTATATGAACTTTGGGGGGTTTGACAAAGAGGCCCTGCAAGCCTCTGTGGTGGATAGTGATACAATTGATACAAGTGATACAGGTAAGGGCCAATAATCTGCCCTCTGCCTCGGAACCAACCGCCCATCCCTGTGTGCCCAGCCATCTTTTCTACTAATGTAAGTGTTAAAAAACCTAATATTATTGATATTTCTCTTAATTATTAATTGTGTGTGCATGCCATCATAAAGTTAAGATAATATTTTTACTACAACATAGTTGTGTGTCGTCAAAAAGTGGAGTTTGGGGATCGGCCTGGACTCCATTTCAATTAATCCCATATGTTATGTTGTTCACTTTCCGCGGTACCCTCCGGGTTACATTAACCGCGTAATGTGAGACCCAACTGTATATGTATAAAATCTGATGTTTTGCCACCAAAATCACTTTAACCCTTAAGCCCTGGGTTAGGGTGCTGCTGGCAGTACCCCCAATGTGGGGTTAAATCGAGAACAAAATAAAAATTTAAAAACAAATGATAAAAAAAAAAAAAAAAAAAAAAGGGAAAATAGGCGGACGTTCTTAAGTAACACCGAGACGGGCTCACCTCAATAAAAAAAAACCTTTATATGGCAACCGCATGCCGCCTTGGCGGCAGCGGGTGGAAGGATTGTTTCCCGTTCTGTTGTTAAATAATAATAATTTTTACATTCATTCAATATCCCATGATTTATAAAATCACTCTTACAAAACTCTCTGATTTTACCACCCCGGTGTGATTTCTGATTATTTGAAAAGGTTCTCCCATTACGTAAAAGATACCAAATAATATGTGACCCGGAAATTTTGGTTGGCACGAGAGAAAATTTTGTATCAAAGATTTGGTCGATTTTGGCACACACACTCAAAAAGGTTGCCCACCCCTGTTCTAGAACGTCACCCGGGGCCTAAGGGTTAAAATAACTTTCAATTAATGTTTGATGAATTGTATTAATTTTTTTTCCTTGTAAAATAGAGGTGTGTCTTATAAAATATGAAAATTTCTCCTCTCCTTGGCACTACGGAAACCTTCTGTTGCAAAATACAATATAATACCTGTTAATTTATGAACTATGAATACATCTCACATATATATATTGAAACTTCTTACATATACTGCACAGTACGATAAAACAATACAGCACCTTATCCGTTCTTGGATATTTCAGCTTCAATTTCTGGATGGTCTCCAAAAACTTGGTGCGGACATCAGTTTTTGATTCAGTGAGAGTCTGCTGCAGCTCATCAATAATATCCAACAGGTGATAGCACGCCTTACAAACAACCTGCAAATGAAAGTACAGTATGTAAGAACCAATACAAAATATAAACAACCTGGCAGAGAAGTTAAAACAAAATAGCACATTAAGAGAGTGTGTGACTCTTGATTCTGGACATTATCTTCCTTTACCAATAAATGTTCTAAGCATAAAGTTTTGTTGCTTTACCAGAGCCAGAAGCGAATTTATTGTACATTCGTTCCAAAAAGTATCTTTACGAAGTGGTCAGATAAATCCATAATGAACACAGTGACTCCTGTCGTCTAGGTAATGTTGTCTCACAAAATCAGAAGGTATGGAGTGAACGCACGGAGAAAAATGTGTCTTCGAATGGCCAGACAGACAGATGGACTGCAAGATCACCATATTCCCCACAGACCTATTCAGTAGATGGATAAAATGTGAACAGAACTGAAACCCTAAGGTTTATGATGTACTGAATTCTCATAGTAAATCTGACCTGTGAATGAAGTCGCCCATCTTCCAGTTTGTAACCCAGGACGTCAGTCAGTAGCACCAACAGTGGGGCATGCGAGTGGTTCATGGAGGCCTTAATTGACTCGTAATTTTTGTCCGACACGGGGTTACAGCACACAAAACATAAACGGTTTCTTTCAATTTCTTCATGATGCGATCCCTCCCCCTGTGGAGAGATAAGTCATGGATATTATTGTTATATTTTTCATCAACTACTTTGTTAAATGGGAGGAAACAGAAAATAAAAATCTTCACCTGCTAGTGTGACTTGTCCTCCACTACATGTGTTAACTCTATTAGTAGAGTAAGTCACATGGAACTAGTATCTTGTACACTCCACTAGTGTTATCATGGCATCAGTGGTAAAAACACACACACACACACACGTATATGGTTAAGTCAAAGAATTTCATCTTTGTTTTACTAGCAGAGCTGTGCAAAGTATTGAAATTTGTTACTCATGTTAAAGTATCAGTAATATGACAAATAGTTACTAAGTTGAAATAAAGTATCACGCGCAAAATGAACTTTAGTAAGAATATAAAAGTACAGCGTACTGCATTATCCAGTTAAAAAAAATACTCAAGTAGAAGTAAAAAGTAGCCTCAAAGATAATATTTATAAGGCGATAATATATAATTAATTCATTAGAGAATGAAACAAATACAAATTCAGCCAACAAACTTCAATAGGAGCACTGGCAAAATTCATATTACATCACGTATTTACAAAAAAAATGAATTAAAGTACTTTTATGTTTGTTTACTAAAAAGCCTAAGCACTGTACTGTATATGTAAATTTACTATGTATTGTACTTTACTGTACATGTTAATAAAAATGTATACAAAGGGCCCACAAAACAGAATTAGCCTCAGGCCCAAGTTTCAGAACAGTTAATGCTGCACTGATGAGGAGCAGCACTTCCTATTAAGCTTCAACAACAGGTGTGAATGCTCCTGGTAAACACTGGACGCTGTTAACGCTTGTGATTGGTTCGTGACTTTATAAAGGGTAGTCTGATGAGAAGAATTGCTCACTTACTGGTTCAGAAAGTGACTGATCCTTGATCTGGTCCAGACTAAATGTGAAAGTACTAATGTGGAAAGGTGGAGGGAGGCAGAGGGTGGTAGTAAGGAATTAAATAAATTGATGATACTGAGAGACCATAAGAAGATTAACCCTGGTAGTTGGAGGTGATGGTAAATAAGAGAAACTTTCAGGTGGGCAGAGGGTAAAGGGGAGAGAAAAGCATTGACTGAGGTCATTGACAGGTGGCACCCTTGAGGCTTAGGAGACTGGGAAAACTTGCAGTACTACAGACTGACCTCACAAAATTTGTCTCTCAGAAGTCCATTTTCCTACATTTTCTTGTATTTTCAGGAGCATTCCCCAATTACCATGTTTATTGCTTGTCTGTGCTCGTTTGAGAGAATTTTTTTTAATTTAAATGCTCATGAAAATGCATGGATTTGAGGAAAGCAGACTTCTTTAACACTTATACCACTCTATATAAATGATGTGACTTAGAAATAAAGAAAACATAATATAAAACTATAAAATAAGAGAAATGAAGAGCACAGGTCTGCGTGTATGGAGGCAGTGGGATAGTGGGATGTAACTGTGTCGCCAGCTGACCCAGCCAAGCAACGCTCCATCCCCCAATAAGATGTCATGGCATATACACAGTGCAGAACAGCAGCAGCCACATGTCTCTGAGTCAGGTGGGTGACTGCCTGGCTGAGCTGTCACATTGCCCAGAGAATGATTTGAGAGTGGAAGGAGCTATTTTTTATACATAAAATAGTGTACTACGTGCTATTGTAGTTTATGATATGCTATGTATCAATTTTAAGTTCATCATAGTAATTTTTGACGTACAGAATGCAATTTGAAATTTTTTTCAAATTAGGCACTAAATCACTTAACCCCTGAACCACATTGTTTATACAGAGTGGAATAAGTGTTAAAGAAGTGTCCAATAAATATGGCATTGGAGTCAACGTTTGAAACAATAAAGATCTATGTTGTACTACAGCAAATATTCCTGTTTTTAATGCTTATTGCACAAATCTTTTCCTTTCGGAAATTCGGTCACGGAGGGGCAACAATTAGCACAAATTTCCGAGGCCGACCCGTATGTTACATCTCATTCCATCAGTAATGCTAAATAACAGAGATAATTTAATTACTGTACTAGTTTATTTGTACGTGTACCCTGGGTTAGTAATTTACCCTGAGTGGGGTGCACAACTGCTTGCACTACACACAGAGGTGTAAAAGTGGGCAGGGCACCAAAGTTACTGGTGTTTCTTGAGGAACATGTTCACCCCACCTCATCGGTGTGTGTCGCTGACACATTAAACACACGTGGCCGTGTGGGTTTGGCAAATTGATCTAATGATCGACAAATGTACATTTGTTGACCTTCAGATAAATTAATTACAAGTGTTTCTTATTTACGTTAGTTTTTTATTAATGCCATAATCAGTCCTTTAAGATGTCTGAAAAACTTCTGTGACTCCCAAAAACTTGCTGTGAATCTTTCCAAAATTACAGTAGCCCAACTAAAGCTGCCACTTAGCCACACTGTCTGCACTGTCTGTGACCATCTGATACAGTGTACAGTACAATACTGTAAATACTGAGTGAAATGATGATATGCGACTAAAAATTCGTCACATTATTTGCCCAAACTATCACTTTCCCTGGCTCCTTAAAAACCTGAAAGTCTTCATCATTTGCTTTACAATTAGAGGCCATGATTAAGTGAAAAATAATCAATACATACATACTACACTGTATTGAGTTGAGGTTTAATACTTAAAATATCATTATTTTTAAGGTTTCTTGACACTTCATGATAAAAATATACCATTTGAAAGCTCAGAATTCATAATTACAGTATTTTCTTATACCGTACAGTTGTTTTGGTTTGTCTCTAGCTTGACGTGGATGTTATTCTCTCAGTCTTGTGATTGATTCATCCATTATATAACTCAAAAGATGATTAAGTACTGCACATTGTTTTTTCCAGAAAAGCAAATTACAGTGCTGTCCTTTTAAGTTAAAATTTTCTCCAAGAAAGGACAATTTGTGTTAATTTACAAGTACTGTACTGTATGAAAAAGAGCGCAGCTATCAATTAAATGTCAAATATCTATGGTCGTTAGTTATTAATTTCTATACTGAATATTACAAACTAAAATTTGGGGAAGTGAATACTGTACATGAATTTAAATAAATGATTTGTAAGAAAGGCCTCCACAGAAAACTGCACTGAGCAGTTTGAAGTGTTAATACTGTACTGTACTGTGTGCCTCTGAACATAATCATAGTTTAAGAAAGCATAAAGCCTTTTAAAAAAATTGGCTTGATTGTTTCTTACCTTTTATTCTGAAGTCTTCCAGTGAAGTAAATCCACAAGTTCACAGTAAGACGTCTCTCCCAAAACTGAAGTGACTTAACTGGGATTGGCCTATTATATATGACCTGACAGGATGACCCATGACGTCAACAACATTATCGTGTCAGTGCTTGTGACCGGAAGCAGGTTGACCCCGACCACACTGCGTTAGGGCTCGGGGGAGGTCAGTACGACCGCGTTGGTCTCTTTGATGATGACCTGAGTGACTAGTGTCTCTGATACGCCCAATATCCTAGAAGTAACCGTGGTAGCGCACCTAAAAATACTTTTTACTTTACAAACTTTGGTAAAAATATACTCAAGCTCAGGTACAGTATATTGTCTTCTCTTAAATTTTACTTAGGTACAGTAAAAGTATTTCCACAATTATAATTTCTAAAAAGTCGATCCTAATACTTTTTTTTTACTTAAGTATAAGTACAGTATTCAAATGTAGTTACTTCACTACTGCCCACCTCTGCCTACTAGTATACCCTGATCATGTTCTAAATAGCTGACCTATCCAATGTAATCAATGCAGTGCAGTGCAGGATACAGGTACATGTTAGGGGACTCTCACACAATATCTATTAAGATAATATGAAGACAAAAGGATCCAGTGTTCTGTAAGTACAATATAGGCAGACCAGAATTTATGAGGATTTGATTTATGAAGAAATACAGTTATGAAAAAACAAACTTGTTTACGCTTTGATTTATGAGCAAAGAACACACAACTTAAGATAAATTCATTAACTTCCTCCTATAGCTCATGTAAGAACAAATACTGTATAGTATAGTATAGTATAGTATAGTACAGTACAGTACAGTACAGTACAGTACAGTACAGTACAGTATAGTACAGTATAGTATAATATAGTACAGTACAGTACAGTACAGTACAGTACAGTACAGTACAGTACAGTACAGTACAGTTTAGTACAGTACAGTAGTGTCACACCACCACACACAGTCACTGAGCCAGGTGTCTTTCCAATTCTTCATTTCCTCTCATGTAATACAGTACAAGTACAGTACATATGTGTAAAAAAGATATTCTGTACAGTATCCTTAAATTTAAAATGCTATTGATGTATAATGAAGGTGTAGAGTTGTAGGAGAGTGTGGAACTTTTGAAAAAAAAAAAAAATGTTTGGAGGTGTGGAAATTGTCGGTAAGGCTGTCGGGAGGCTGAGTGGAGCGACAGCTGGCTGAGATGAGACTCTGGCTGGCTGGATTTGCTCCTCTCTGTGTTCTGACAGTTTATCTTAATGGCTCTTAGGCGTCACTTTTTAAACATCTGAGGCCAGCCCAAGGTGAAATCAGTGTTGTGGACTTTTCAGTTCCTCATACTCTGTCCTTGGTCCAGTAATCACAGAATTTCAACATTTATTTTCCACACCTACCACTCTATGTTTCCTTTTAACACCGTTAAACTCAGTTCTATCACTTTGGTGTTCATTTGAAGGTAAAGTTTTGTGAAGCAAAATAAAATCAATATTAAGTACTGTACTGAGTATAAAGCACACCTGCCCTGATGCATGAACCATCATCATAGCTCAAGGCATCTGTGACAATAATGTTTGCACCATGTAAACAAAGAAGGAATTTAGGTTGATGCAGTAACTCATTAAAGGTTGATTGTGACTTTTTCATAGAGAAATATCTCCAATTATTATACTGTACTGTACACTGTATAATGAGAGTGGATGTTACTCGGGTAATACAGCATATACTATGATGGCTTAGTGGTTCATGCTGCTGTACTGTACAGTTCTCACTTTATGCTAACCTTGTCCAGTTTCTCTTTAACCCCTAAATTACTGGATGCCACTTATGGCATTTCTTGCGGCTAACGACAAACAGTATAAAATTATCACCCGGTACTGTATGGTACACTAGTGCATGTACAGCATTTCACTTGAAGTATTATGTTCATTATTTTCTTATAATCATTATGTACACCAATGCTTTGTTGAACTTCAAAGAAGTTTTTGGGGAGTTTTTTCTTTGGAACACTTCTCAGCTTTTATGATGGGAGTCTACAGGGAAATGTGCATCAACTTATGAAAACTGATGTATAATAAATTTTCTGTTAATGTAACCCCTTCATAGATCAGGGTCTGCCTGTAGTGTACTGCAGAAACAAGGAGAGAAACAGATGAATACACACAACAAACCAAGTTATCTCATGAACTTTTGCACATAAAATCTATCAATACTGTACTGTACACTGACATACCTGATTTTCAACCATATTTGCTCCTTGCAGAAAGGCAGCTGCAGAACCTCCAATTGAACCATCTTCATTAACATCAGCTGCAACAAAGGAGCTGCCTGCAGTGTTGATAATACCCTGGGGGTGATTAGGTGGCGGAGAAAAACCCTCATATACGACCTCTGGCGAATCATTCGCGCTGTCATCCCACTTCTCTGCCATCTGCCAAAATCAGCAGAGACAATATTAGCTGAAGAATCAATATATTGTGCTGAAGACAATATCCCTTTGTGTGGGTCTAGGCCTACTAGAGTACCACTTTATAGATTTTGATCATAAAGTACTGTACTGTACTCTAGCTAATGTACCTGTTACCAAAATAAATCTTTGTCTTTCTTTTTGTTAATGTTAACTCAAATCCATTTCTAGTGACATTTCATTACAAATATTAACTTGGTAACCACTAGTGCTCTCACAGCACAGCACCATACAGTACTCGTCCATAATGTAGCTAACCAGCCTTGCAACACCTGAATATTTAGGTGTAGGTTCTGCCTAGGCCTATAACAAAAGTAATACAGTAAGTGATTGTACAGTTGTATACAGTACTACATATTATTGGTGTGATCATAATTTCACAATCACTAGTTGCATGTTATGTGAAAAAATAATGTTTCATTAAGGCTTGCACAGCACACTGATTTTCCACGATGATATGAGCATACAGGAGACAAAAACATTATGATGTAAAATCTAATTGAATACAAACTTCTCTTTGATGTTAGCATTAACACTGAATTTAACAGCTAGTCAACCTAATGTTAGGACAAAAATCACATATGGCACAAAAAGGGTAACTGGTCACCCTCCGCCTAATTCAAATGGGGAGGAGCCCCGAGGATGTAGACTTACGGAACAGTGTATCAGCTCAAGCTGTGGAATCATGAACAGTACAAGGCTTTAAAGTAGCCCGTGACAATTATATCAAGAACAATGGAAGGATCCTACACAGGCCACTGGTGTTTGCCCCTCTGCATAGCAACCTCTAATTTGGGCTGCCATTTGGTAAATAAGGTAAAAATAAGGTAATTTTCATAAAAATATTCTCCCTTAAGCCCAAATACAGTAAGGTTATGTTTGGCCAGTTCATGTTGCCTGGTATGAAGGACAAACAAACAAAACTAGAGTTCTCTATCAACCACAACATATACAGTACTGTACATTAATAAACAAATAAATAAACCAATAAATAAAATACATGATACACTGTAATTAAAACAAGATGCTGAATATTTGTCTGGCACCCTCCCACAATCTGTTATTAGTAACCAAACTCTGTGTGTCCCAGTGTTTCCCAGCAGCATTTCCATATCAGGGGTGGAAATTCACATACGCCTGGCCGCCCAAGGTGACCAAAATATCAGAAGGGTGACTAGCATGTCAGACTCACAGTGTCTAGGAACTATCCAGTAGTTTTGAAGAATTTTATTTTTATTTTTGACAGTCTGCTTTACCATAAGGAAGTGCTTGGTGCCCAGTTTATAAAAAGTATTGCAAGAGCAAATGTGTGTTGTACATGTGAAGTCGCGTACAGTACTTAGTCGTTGCGCCCTGCTGCTCCCGGGAGTCAGTGATCTCAGTGTAACTAATACCTCCGTACAATATTGACATGATGTCTAACTAACACAACATTATTATTAATAATCATGAGTCGCCAAAGGGGACTGTTTGATGTGTGGAAGAATGTTAGTCCACCACCAAACAAAAAACCAAAGAAGAAAAGTTAGAGCAGCAGCGTCAATATGAACAATCAACATGATCTATATCATTCCAGATGCCATGGTATGTGGAGTTTGACTGGCTGCTGTATGGTATTGCTGCAGAGGCCAAAGCTTTTACTCAAAATGGTATGTAGTGCTCTCTCTACAAAATGAGTAAGATATCACCTGTTTCAAAACTGTCCTGGCAGCAAATAAATGAATCATATAAATGAACAAAGAGACAGTTTAAAGTCCCTTACACAAATAATCAAACACACACACACACATACGAGTACTGTATATACAGAATATATAAATACTGTATAATCTCTCCATTAGCGGGAATTTCCAGTCCCCAGAATTCTCCAATAGCCGAAATGAATTTTAAAGCCTTCCAGGAAATCCGGGAAAATTCACTCCATTCCCAGCATAGGAACGAGTTTCCGAGGATGAAATTTACATTTTCCTGAAAAATTCTGAGAAAATTTATTTCTTACCTCTGGAATATCAATAAAATGTTGCATGAATTTCAAGTATCCTACTTTTACTGTTCTTCAATTTTCATAGATTAAATACAGTTGGTCCACACGCAGACGCCATGTTTATGATTAAACTGTTTACAGTACATGATTGACAGCAAGAGATTCTAATCCTAAGCAACTGGTGGTGGCAGTACTGCACCAAACTGATGAAATTTTGCCACAGAAGATAAAAACTTCCTTACCTCAAGAAACATAAAAAACATACAGCTCCTCCCCGACTTACGACCTGCCTCAGTCGTACCAAAATTTTGTCAAATTACGTATTTTCGAGTCCCAACATCAGTACAGACAAAATTTTTATTTGTAATTCCCTTTAAAATGGCTGGCAAGCTTAAAAGTGAGAGTTTTGTGGTGCTGAGAAGAAAAAGAGACCCCCATTTTAAATTTTCTATGTATTATTTAAGCATTTTCGACTTACGGCCATTTCGACTTATGACCTGATTTGGGTCCCTAACCCCGTCGTCAGCCGGGGAGGAGCTGTACATGAAGAATATGGTTTGTGTCATTTCCTTTTACATCTTTTCATAGTTTTCGTCTGTGGAGGGGCTGCCTCCATCCACCATGTCTACTTTCTCAGTTCTGCAATTTCATATTTATCTTTCATAAAGTGAAGAAAATTAATAACTTAAAATAAGTACCCATATTTCCTATTTCATTCTTCTTAAAAGTAGTAAAATTCCTCTATGGGAAAAGAACCACTCCTAGTCAAAACATGGTGCTCATGCACTTATATCAAACAATATGTATTCCTCCTGTATTTCTCGTATGTTTCACGAAGTAAGAAAGCATTTACTTTCTAAGGAAAAATTTTGTCAGGTTGCTGCTAAGGGCGGGCCACTCTCATTAAGTATCACCCCAAATGCTTCCCAGTAACTCTCCAAAAATAGTTAGTTAACAAAATAATACCCTAAACAACCTACCTAGCTTATATTAATGTACTTTCACCCTAAGATTTGTATGATTGAAAGTTACGTAAGGTTTGGTTGGTCGATTTATCTTATTTATGATAAATAGGTTTCTGGTCGACTGACTATGGCTGACACATGCAGGTGGAGCATCAGCATGGGTTCGTATTCAAGCCAAAAGGAATCACTGGAACAGAGGCAGGAAAGATGCACTTCCTCCGACATTCGAGTTTTCTTAAGTATTCTTTTACAAGTAGACAACCAACGAACTTCTAGGTTACGTTAAGTTGTTAGGTTAGGTTTGGTGCTTTTTGGTTGTTGAGCAATGTGTTATTCCCATGTTAAAATCCATGGTAGACCACTTGTAAAAATTTACCTATTCTTCTATAGTTGCTCTTTCTAACAGGTAAATGTTGTCCACTATTACCATATTATACAGTGTAACTCTAACTAGTACTACGGCAACTCCTCAAGACTTGCCCATAAATGCAGCATTAACGATTACAGCAACACTATTTCAAATAAATTCTGCAACTGCTTTATAAGGCTAACAGAAGTTCTCACAAATTCGTTCTGAAAGATTATTACTTGATGATTCTGACACAATCTTGACTTGTAATGATACGAATCTGTTACCAGTTTTCTTGGGTTATGACTGGTTGAATAAACTTGCTGTTAGTATAATGCACCAATGTGAGCTTATATGAGTATTTTACTGAATAAATTTCAAACAATATAAAACTCAAGAGACCTTAACCTCAACCAACATGCCATGATAACATTATAAAACAGAAGCAAGAGATGTGTGGCTGTGTTAGATCTACAAATACATCTTGTATACTAATGAAATATATTTAACTAGCAGCTTATAATGTAAATAAAATCGACACTCACGTCACTGTCAGCCTCCGGAGTGTGACTGTTCCACCTACTGTCCACTTAACACATCTTACAACACGTGTGTAGATAACTATTGTGACATATACGTCGGTGACACACACATACATACACACACACACAAACACACACTCAGGCAGTTAAGAGACAGTCAGTCAAGGTAATTCACTACAGGTTTCGTCCCATCTTGTTTACAAAGATGGCGGCGACCTCACACCCGCCAGAATTTAAAATTATCTTATTCTTCTGTCTGTTTCAGTACTTAAGCTGCTTTAACTTATTAGAACCAACCATCTTTCCATATCCTGTTTAATTACTGCTGCTGTTAGTTCGTTTTTAAATCCATTTAATTTTTAAATGGCCTAAAAACATTCTGACCAAACTTTACTTACATATAAAAATCAGGGCTAATGAATCATGTATTAATTCACATCTAGAACATTGATGAACAATGAATCAGGTGGGATTGTGTCGCCAAGTGCCTGTGCCCAACGCGAGTAATTTATTACATCTTGGTCTGCCCAATACCTACCCAGTCGTCTCTAGACTGTAAGCGCTATATCTTGGACACCATCACATCTGCCACATGTAATTTTCAGCCAATCAGGCTTCCTTAACAGCCATTCATTCGGCCACTCTTGAAGCTGCCAGAGATCTTTCTGTAGCTCTTTCCAGTGTGTTTCGTTATTAATTTCTGTTTAACTTTACGCCGTCCGGAAACATTTCTATGGGGGAGTGTATAGTTTCTGACATGTCATTCATGAAACAAACAAACAACAACGGGCCCGGTACACTGCCTTGTGGCATCCCGCTTGTCACAGGTACCCATGGGCCATGGATTTTTACTTTTATCCTCTTCACCACTGATCGGCTCGTTATCCGCTTGGGCGGTCGGTCACGTCTCTGTTACGCACTGTTGGCAAGTACTTGGCATACACCGGCTCCTCAATGTATCTGAACCTACTCCAATGCTTGTCAAGTCTGGTCTTGAAAGAGCTCACACTCGGTGCCGTCACAACACTCTCTGGCAGATTTCGTGCCATTAATCACCACACACTGCTTGGGGTAAAAAAAAAATTAAAGTTCCCAATCCGCACTATGGACACTTCCCTGATTCAAGTACCTTTTCAGTTTTATTCTGTCTATATTGCCACCATTTTTCAGAATTTGAGTCAAAACATGCACCAGAACGTCAGTATTGTATCTGTGATCAGTACGACACAAAGCTAATAAGGCCAAAAACTTCCCTCTTTCCCAACTTCAATTTTCTTCTGTAAAAAGAAAAAGAAAAAAGTGACTTGGTGTTTTGAATAACCTTATGATGATGACCTGTGAGTAAGCTTATGATGGTGACTTGTGAGTAGTAGCCTTATGATGGTGACTTGTGAGTAGTAGCCTTATGATGGTGACTTGTGAGTAGCCTTATGATGGTGACTTGTGAGTAGTAGCCTTATGATGGTGACTTGTGAGTAGTAGCCTTATGATGGTGACTTGTGAGTAGTAGCCTTATGATGGTGACTTGTGAGTAGTAGCCTTATGATGGTGACTTATGAGTAGCCTTATTATGGTGACTTGTGAGTAGCCTTATGATGGTGACTTGGTGTTGTGAGTAGCCTTATGATGGTGACTTGTGAGTAGCCTTATGATGGTGACTTGTGAGTAGTAGCCTTTATGATGGTGACTGAGTGGATGACTTGTGAGTAGTAGCCTTGTGAGTAGTAGCCTTGTGAGTGGTGACTTGTGAGTAGTAGCCTTATGATGGTGACTTGTGAGTAGTAGCCTTATGATGGTGACTTGTGAGTAGCATTATGATGGTGACTTGTGAGTAGTAGCCTTATGATGGTGACTTGTGAGTAGTAGCCTTATGATGGTGACTTGTGAGTAGTAGCCTTATGATGGTGACTTGTGAGTAGTAGCCTTATGATGGTGACTTATGAGTAGCCTTATTATGGTGACTTGTGAGTAGCCTTATGATGGTGACTTGGTGTTGTGAGTAGCCTTATGATGGTGACTTGTGAGTAGCCTTATGATGGTGACTTGGTGTTGTGAGTAGCCTATGATGGTGAGTGATGAGGCCTTATGATGGTGACTTGTGAGTAGTAGCCTTATGATGGTGACTTATGAGTAGCCTTACATGGTGACTTGTGAGTAGTAGCCTTATGATGGTGACTTATGAGTAGTAGCCTTAAGGATGTGACTTGTGAGTAGCCTTATGATGGAGACTTGGTGATAGCCTGGATGGCACTTGGTGTTGAGTAGCTTATGATGCAGTGACTTGGTGTTGTGAGTAGCCTTGGATGGTGACTTGGTGTTGTGAGTAGCCTTATGATGGTGGACTTGGTGTTGTGAGTAGCCTTATGATGGTGACTTGTGAGTAGCCTTATGATGGTGACTTGGTGTTGTGAGTAGCCTTATGATGGTGACTTGGTGTTGTGAGTAGCCTTATGGATGGTGACTTGGTGTTGTGAGTAGCCTTATGATGGTGACTTGGTGTTGTGAGTAGCCTTAATGGTGATTGGTGAGACTTGGTGTTGTGAGTAGCCTTATGATGGTGACTTGGTGTGGAGTAGCCTTATGATGGTGACTTGGTGTTGTGAGTAGCCTTATGATGGTGACTTGTTGCCTCCTATGACTTGAGTAGCTGGTGACTTGTTGTGAGTAGCCTTATGATGAAGACTTGGTGTTGTGAGTAGCCTTATTATGGTGACTTGTGAGTAGCCTTATGATGAAGACTTGGTGTTGTGTGAGTAGCCTTATGATGGTGACTTGAATAGCCTTATGACGCAGACTTGTTGTGAGTAGCCTTATGATGAAGACTTGGCGTTGTGAGTAGCCTTATGATGGTGACTTGAATAGCCTTATGACGAAGACTTGGTGTTGTGAGTATCCTTATGAGGGGTGACTTTATGTTGTGAGTATCCTTATTATTGAACACTCCAAGTTAAGGAGTTCTTGCCACGACACCTCACCCCCCCCCTCCGACGACACCCGCCATGAATTTTGCAACACTGTAGTGGTTTCTGGAACTGGAAATCCCGTGGTAATACGTGAAGTATAAATACGAGACCCTACTCCATCAATTCATAATTTTACCACTGCTACACTATCAAAACTGAAAGATTACTTATGATTGCGATTTGTTAATTATAAGGGAGTAGGCTAGTTTATGCGCTGGCTAAATCAATGGCACAAGCAGATAACAAAGGGATTGGAATAGGTTTAAACCGTGTTGAACTCTTACAGCGCACAGCAGGTGGTTGTTTTGCTGACTTACCGTTTACCTTGTTTATGTATACTTTCAATGTCTATGTACACTGTATGCGGAGTCTGTGTGTACTGTATATTGAGTTTGTATGCAATGTATACAGTCTGTGTGCACTGTATAATTAGTGTGGACACCGTAAGTAACCGAGTCTGCACAGTATACAGAGTCTACGCACAGTATACCGAGTGAGTGCACTGTATACTAAGTCTGTTTGCAATGTAGAGCCTACCGTTAGTTAAAGGAAGCACCAAAATATAAAGGAGACATGAAAAGAAAAACTACTAATTGGTCTCATGTCCCCAAAATTGGCCACCCACCCACACACACCTTCTACTCTTTAATACATTACTGTATCACCTTCTTGATCCTTGCTATTTTTTAAATGATCTCTCTCATACTGCATCGTCCACTTAAATATTAGTATAGGGTGTACAATGCTAACCTCAAGGAACCCACTGTAGTCATTCACACACAGGTTCTAACATACTAAGGAAGAGGTAAATCATTCGTTTTAAATATACGTTTAAGAATTCGACTAAACAGTATAGTGAGTTTTTTCTCAGCGAAAAAAAACCGCACTTTAATAAGTTTGGATTTCACATTTCGGTTAAGGTTTAATATTTTTCCCTTTGTCCAGCAATTATTTAGTCGGTGTTAATTTATAAGATTTTATCAAATTTCTTCGTGCCATATAGTCCCCTAAGGATGCAAAACTCCTTTAATAATCGATGTAAGCCAATAAAATTAAGACACTGCAACGTGTGGAAGGATATAAAATAAAATACCATGATAGCAAAACTTAAAACAATACATACATTACCCATCAATACAAAATAATCAAAATCATATAAATCCCTCACAATTACACGAAAAATACATGAGAAATATTCTTCTTCTGGTAACTTTGCGAATGGCTAGACACAGCAACTCGAGTTCCCCCACTACCGAGTTTCCTCACCTGTCCTCACTGAGAAACGTGAAGAAGGGATTCAATATCCAGGAACAAACCTATTGATAATGTTGCCTCCTTTACATAAAGGTATATGATTTACATATTTCCCGAATTTCCTCTTCTCATCCTTCCTTCACTTCTTTCCCTTCCCCCACTACTTCTTTCTCTTACCTTTCCTCACCCAGTTTTATCCATAAACAGACGTCTCCCCTTTGATCTTCACCTTTCTATTCCTTTCCTGGATCTTTCGTCTCATTTTCTCGACGTTCATTTCCTTTACTAGAATTTTTTTCCTTTCCCACAATTTTCTTTTTGCTTCAACTTTCTTTTCCTCTCCTGGAACTTTCTTGGTTTCATCTTTTTTTCCCTTTACTGGAACTTTCTTTACTTAATTTTTCTTTTCCTCTCCTGGAACTTTCTCGGCTTCTTTATTTTCCTCTACTGGAATTTTCTTGGCTTCTTTATTTTCCTCTACTGGAACTTTCTTGGCTTCTTTATTTTCCTCTACTGGAACTTTCTTGGCTTCTTTATTTTCCTCTACTGGAACTTTCTTGGCTTTATTTTCCTCTACTGAAACTTTCTTGGCTTCATCTTTATTTTTCTCTCCTGGAACTTTCTTGGCTTCATCTTTATTTTCCTGCCCTAGAACTTTCTTTTCTTTAACTGGAACTTTCTTTGCTTCATCTTTCTTTTCTTTTCCTGGAACATTGAGTACATCTTTCTTTTCCCCTCCTGGAACTTTCTTGGCTTCATATTTTTTTTCCTCCCCTGAAACTTTCTTAGCTTCATCTTTCTTTTCCATAACTGGAACTTTCTTTGCTTCATCTTTCTTTTCCTCTCCTGAAACTTTCTTGGCTTCATCTTTCTTTTCCATAACTGGAACTTTCTTTGCTTCATCTATCTTTTCCTCTCCTGAAACTTTCTTGGCTTCATCTTTCTTTTCTTTTCCTGGAACTTTGAGTATATCTTTCTTTTCTCCTCCTGGAACTTTCTTGGCTTCATATTTTTTTCCCTCCCCTGAAACTTTCTTGGCTTCATCTTTCTTTTCCTCCCCTGGAACTTTCTTGGCTTCATCTTTCTTTTCCTCCCCTGGAACTTTCTTGGCTTCATATTTTTTTTCCTCCCCTGAAACTTTCTTGGCTTCATCTTTCTTTTCCTTAACTGGAACTTTCTTTGATTCTACTTTCTTTTCCATTCTTGGAACTTTCTTCTTTGCTTCAACTTTCTCTTCTTTATCTGGAACTTTCTTCTTTACTTCAACTTTATTTTCCTTTGCTGAAACCCTCTTTTCTTTTCCAGGAACTTTCTTCTTTGCTTCAACTTTCTTTTCCTTTCCTGGAACTTTCTTCGCTTCATCTTTCTTTTCCTTTACTGAAACCTTTTCCTTTCCTGGAATCTTCTTTGCTTTAACTTTATTTTCCTTTACTGAAACTTTCTTTTCCTTTCCTGGAACCTTCTTTGCTTCTACTTTCTTTTCCTTTCCTGGAACTTTCTTTGCTTCAACTTTCTTTTCCATTCTTAGAAGTTTCTTCTTTGCTTCAACTTCCTCTTCCTTTCCTGGAACTTTCTTCTTTGCTTCAACTTTATTTTCCTTTCTTGGAACTTTTTTTGCTTCAACTTTCTCTTCCTTTCCTGAAACGTTCTTCTTTGCTTCAACTTTCTCTTCCTTTTCTGGAACCTTCTTCTTTGCTTCAACTTTCTTTTCCTTTACTGAAACTTTCTTTTCCTTTCCTGGAACCTTCTTTGCTTCTACTTTCTTTTCCTTTCCTGGAACTTTCCTTGCTTCAACTTTCTTTTCCATTCTTAGAAGTTTCTTCTTTGCTTCAACTTCCTCTTCCTTTCCTGGAACTTTCTTCTTTGCTTCAACTTTCTTTTCCTTTCTTGGAACTTTTTTTGCTTCAACTTTCTCTTCCTTTCCTGAAACTTTCTTCTTTGCTTCAACTTTCTCTTCCTTTTCTGGAACCTTCTTCTTTGCTTCAACTTTCTTTTCCTTTACTGAAACTTTCTTTTCCTTTCCTGGAACCTTCTTTGCTTCTACTTTCTTTTCCTTTCCTGGAACTTTCTTTGCTTCAACTTTCTTTTCCATTCTTAGAAGTTTCTTCTTTGCTTCAACTTCCTCTTCCTTTCCTGGAACTTTCTTCTTTGCTTCAACTTTCTTTTCCTTTCTTGGAACTTTTTTTGCTTCAACTTTCTCTTCCTTTCCTGAAACTTTCTTCTTTGCTTCAACTTTCTTTTCCTTTACTGAAACCTTTTCCTTTCCTGGAATCTTCTTTGCTTCAACTTTATTTTCCTTTACTGAAACTTTCTTTTCCTTTCCTGGAACCTTCTTTGCTTCTACTTTCTTTTCCTTTCCTGGAACTTTCTTTGCTTCAACTTTCTTTTCCATTCTTAGAACTTTCTTCTTTGCTTCAACTTCCTCTTCCTTTCCTGGAACTTTCTTCTTTGCTTCAACTTTCTTTTCCTTTCTTGGAACTTTTTTGGCTTCAATTTTCTCTTCCTTTCCTGAAACTTTCTTCTTTGCTTCAACTTTCTCTTCCTTTCCTGAAACTTTCTTCTTTGCTTTAACTTTCTCTTCCTTTCCTGGAACCTTCTTTGCTTCAACTTTCTTTTCCTTTCCTGGAACTTTCTTCTTTGCTTCAACTTTCTCTTCCTTTCCTGGAACTTTCTTTTCTATTAAAACTTTCTTCTTTTCCTCAACTTTCTTTTGCTTTCCTGGAACTTTCCTTACTTCAATTTTCTTTTTCTTTCTTGAAACCTTCTTCATTGCTTTATCTTTCTTTTCCTTTCCTGGAATTTTCTTTACTTCAACTTCCTTTTCCTTTCCTTGAACCTCCTTTGCTTCAACTTTCTTTTCCTTTCCCGGAACTTTCTTCGTTGCTTTAACTTTCTTTTTCTTTCTTGAAAATTTCATTGTTTTATCTTTCTTTTCCTTTCCTGAAACTTTCTTCTTTCTGTCCTTCTCTACTACAATTTTCTCTATTATTTTAGCCTTGTCACCTTGACCCGTTGACTTTACTTCCCCAGTGGCATTACTTTCTCTGATAAACAGTTTTGTTTTTTCTGCTTCGGCCCCACTGCGCTGTAATGTGCCTTTTATTCCAAGAGTTACATTTTGTTTTCCTTCTATCTCTCTTTTCTCCAAAACTTTCTCTCCTCCTTTCCCAGGTATTGTGTCAGTTTTCGAACTTGCTGACGTATTTCCAAGCGCTCCCACAATATCAACGGTTATATTTTTCTTTTGTACACTCTCAGACGTAGTCCCCAAGTAGAGAGGTGACTGTTGTGGTTTTAATTTTCTTCTTATGTCAGCCTTACTTGCAACCATTCCTTGCATATCAAAAGATATATTTTCAAACGACTGTTCCTTTTGTCCAACTGTACGATTTATTCCTTTGAATGGGAGAGTATAGTTCGTATCGAAGGTATCTTCAATTTTCTTCGTGGCTTCCATGTCCTCTTGTGTTTCAGGAGACTGGAAGTAAATGAATTTTATGTACTATACACCAAGCATGTTTCTAATTTAACACACACACACACACACACACACACACACACACACACACACACACACATACATACATACATACATACATACATACATACATACATACATATATATATATATATATATATATATATATATATATATATATATATATATATATATATATATATATATATATATATATATATATATATATATATATATACACACACAGTATACAGTATTACCCCGCTTTACGTGGTATCACTTTCCGCGATTTCTCATTTACGCGGTGCCTCGCCAGAACCGAACTTTCACTTTCCACGGTGCATCTACTCATATACGCGGGAAGCGGCGCGGGCAGGATGCGCACAAGGTCGCCCAGTCATCAAAACATTACCGAGTTCTTCTCCCGCCACCCACCACAGCCGGCCTAAGTCAGTGATAGTGATAATGATAGTGAGGATATGGACTTATATGGACTTTGAGGGGTTTGACAAAGAGGCCCTGCAAGCCTATGTGGTGGATAGTGATACAATTGATACAAGTGATACAGGTGAGGGCCAATATATAATCTGCCCTCTGCCTCGGAACCAACCCCCCATCCCCGTGTGCTCAGCCATCTTTTCTACTAATGTAAGTGTTAAAAAACTAATATTATTGATATTTCTCTTAATTATTAATTGTGTGTGCATACCATCATAAAATTAAGATGTAATTTTTACTACAACATAGGTATTGTGTCTGAAAAAGTGGAGTTTGGGGGTCGGGCCAGTCTCTATTGGAATTAATCCCATATGTTTTGTTGTTCACTTTACGCGGTTTTCACTTTCCGCGGTACCCCATGGGTTCAATTGACCGGGTAAATTGGGGTACTACTGTGTATGTATGTATGTATATATATATGCAAGTAAATCACTGTAGGTGGGCGTGATCCAGGTATATGCTGATAACCACAAGGAAAAAGAAAACACGAAGTTCCCAAGCGCTTTCGTGTAATTCACATCTCCATGGGTGAGTACAGACTAAGGAGAAGTACAAAACAAGGTGTATATATACAGAGGAGGGTGAGATCAGGTCCACAATGGTCAGGTATTAGGTAATGACCCTACTAATCTTCAAGAAGCACCGCAGCAGTCGGTAGTCAAGTCAGAGGGTAAGCTGACCCAACCTTCTCACCTGGTTACAAATCTTCTTAATTACGAAATTATCCAGTTTGTACATTTTTACTCAAATTCATGGTGACGGATTCGGTATGTTTAATGAGACTAGATTCTATAATGTTCTTACTGTCAATTGAATTACAAGGTAATATTGAGGAGGCATTATCCCAGTCAATGCAATGCTTATTATCCCTCAAATGAACAAACAGAGCATTGGATTCCTGGCCTGTTCTAGCACTGTATTTATGTTGTTTAAGTCTAGTTACAAGATCTTTACCTGTCTGGCCTAAGTAAAACATACTACATTCCTTGCAAGGAACCTTATAAATGCAGCCACCTGTGTTGTTGGGAGAGTTTTTGATTAACATTTGTTTAACAGTGCATGAGTTTTTAAATGCCACATTGACGTTCCAGGTTTTTAATTGTAAAGGAATTTGAGAGAAATTTTTGTGAAATGGTAATACTAAGAGATTCTTATGGTCATGGGTGGGCTTGGGATCGGTTCTTTAGAAAGATTTCTTAGTAATGGGAAGGCATTTGTCTATGAAAGATCTAAGGTACTTAAGGTTCAAGCCAATATTACAGATATATTTACATTCCTCATCAATGAATTCCGGGCTGCAAATTCTCAAAGCACGTAAAAACATTGATGAAAATACTGACTGTTTGACTCTATTATGGTGGGCAGAATAATAAAGAATGTATGAACACACATTAGTAGGTTTCCTATAAATACTGAACTTAAAGGTGTTACCTTCGTGTCTTCTTCTTTCCTTGTGGTTATCAGCATATACCTGGATACCGCGCACCCACAGTAATTTACTTGCACGCACGCACGCACGCACGCACGCACACACACACACACACGCACACACACACACACACAAGTGATAACTATGGTGTATAGATCACAGCCTCATGATAACTATAGATCACGCCTCATGATAACTATGGTGTATAGATCACAGCCTCATGATAACTATAGATCACGCCTCATGATAACTATGGTGTATAGATCACAGCCTCATGATAACTATAGATCACGCCTCATGATAACTATGGTGTATAGATCACAGCCTCATGATAACTATAGATCACAGCCTCATGATAACTATGGTGTATAGATCACAGCCTCATGATAACTATAGATCACAGCCTCATGATAACTATAGATCACAGCCTCATGATAACTATAGATCACAGCCTCATGATAACTATAGATCACAGCCTCATGATAACTATAGATCACACTCATATTAAAGGAGATGAACTCATGGGATAATTTGCGAATAATGAAGTTGTTCAGGGAAATCCAAGAGTCCATCCATTCCCAGCCTGAAAGTAATTTACGGGTTAAGTGAAGTGAAGTCAAGGATTCTACTAAATCTATATAGCATTAGAATCCATGGTGAAGTACAAGGATAACTTTCGACAAAACCAGTACAGTACATCTCCCTTGGTGGAGGTGAGACATAATTACTGACATGTGACTGGAAGCTGGAAACGAGCATTATAAACAATCAAAGAAGAATGCACCTCTGCTCCTAACAATAATGTGTCCTACACTGTGGCCATATTGTATTCTCACCTTGTGTGTGATTAGTCTATGGATCATATTGCAGCCTGTCATACAAGCTTCATCCTCAACCGGAGACGAGTCGAACTTATGTGCACATCCTGTGGACAAGTGAAAAGCAACTTAGTTTCACTCTACTGTCCATGTACCAATGGCACTACCAACTGAATTATAACAACACTAAGCTCACAGGTCAATGTAATACAAATATTTTTATTACCTAAAATTAATAATATATTTCTCATTATCAATTCTCTCTCAGCAAACTTTTGTATCAGTGTTTCCATTTCCATTCATTCTTAACACTTAGTACTGTATCTATATCCCCATGAGACCTCCACTTCATAGCCATCAGTCTATCTCGCACACTTGTACTGATAACTGCGTCATAATTGAGATAAACCTATGTTGACTTACATTATATATTCTTAATGGCATCGTTACAATATTTTCGGGATGATGAAGTCATTTTTTTTAGCAAAAACACAGGATTCTATTGTAATTTCTGGCGCTGAATACAAAAAGAAAAAATATGTACTGTACAGCATTTTTGTTTTTAATTATTACTGGAAAATACTTTTTCTTTACAGGTTTTTACAAATAAGTACACGACAGAAGGAATTTACAATACTGTATTTTGTAAAACATTTCAGTCCCAAGAAAAATTGGAACTGTTTGTAACTTAACCTAACCTATAAAGTATTAATAACACTTTAAATGCCATGTTTGGTACAGTATCGTCTCTCCAAAGAAATACAATAAATACATTTTCTATAACCCTTAAAACCACAAAGACCCATCTACTGTATTTCCATAAAAAATTTCTCAGTTCATCAAACGGAGACCATTTTTGTGTAAATTTATCAAGTACTGTACTAACTAATGCAGGTAATTCACGTGCAATGACAATCACGTTACTAAATACTGTATACTATTTTGACCAACACAACTGTAGTCTGTTCATTGTGGACCAATAATACAAGTTGTCTCGTGTGGCAAAGTGACTGGCTGTGGACCACGGTGTAGAGATCAGTCTTTTTTTTTTGCTTTTATCCTCTTCGCCACTGATCGGCTTGTTAGCCGCTTGGGCGATCGGTCACGACTCTTTTCCTTTATATTCTTCACCAAAAGGTCGGCTCGCTAGCCGCCCGGGCGATCGGTCACGTCTCTGTCACGCACTGTTGGCAAATACTGGGCATGCACCGGCTCCTGAATGTACCTGAACCCGCTCCAGTGTTGGTCAAGTCTTCTCTTGAAAGAGCTCACACTCGGTGCCGTCACAACACTTTCTGGTAGATTGTTCCAAGAGTTTACAACCCTCACTCCGAAAAAGTTTGCCCTCACGGTTTTCCGGACTTGCGGCTTCTTCAATCTTGAGCTGTGACCCCTTGTGGGGCGAGCGTCCGCCAGCTCCAAGTAAGGACACTCAACTGAGTAGTGCCCCCTGAGATGCTTATAAACCTCAACTAGGTCCCCCCTTGCCCGTCTGTAGTATAAGCTAGGCAAGTTCAGGCGCTCCAATCTCGCAGGGTAGCTGAGATGCCGAAGTGCAGGCACCAGCTTGGTGGCCCTCCTTTGAACATTTTCAACCAACTGACAGTCCCTAGCATATCTCGGGGACCAGATGGGGTGACAGTACTCCAGATGGGGAAGCACTTCACTCCTGAAGATCGTCACGAGGGACGGACCGTCTAGATATCTGAACGACCTTCTTATAAGACCCAATAATTTATTTGCCTGATTTACCTTCTTCTCACAATGGCCCGAGAACTTCAGCTCATTGTCAACATACACACCTAGGTCCTTCTCACACACAGTCTCAACTAGTACATTTTCTTCATCCCGTTGGGACATATGGTACGCCTCCTTACCGTTGGTACGCCCCAGGTGCATCCTCTTACACTTCGTGACATTGAATCTCAGCAGCCATTCCTTCGACCATTCCTGGAGCCCACAGAGGTCCTTCTGCAGCTCTTCACAGTCCGCTTGGTTCTTAATTTCCCGAAATAACTTGGCGTCATCGGCAAACATTTGTATGGAGGAGTGTACAACGTCAGGCATATCATTTATGAAACAAACAAACAACAGCGGGCCCAATACACTACCCTGCGGTACCCCACTTGTTACAGGTACAGATGACGATTTCGTGCCATTAATCACCACACATTGCTTGCGGTCATGTAGAAAGTCTTCTATCCACGCTAGGACATTTCCCCGAATTCCGTACCCTTCCAGTTTGATTTTCAGCCTTTCGTGGGGTACACTGTCGAAAGCCTTGGCAAAATCTAGGTAAATATTGTCGATATTACCACCCCGTTCTAGAATATGGGTCCAAATATCCAATACCTTGAGCAATTGTGTCAAGCAAGAGCGCCCCGGCATAAAACCGTGTTGGCAATCTTTTACAAGGTTGTTTCGTAGTAGATGTTCCATCGCTGCATCTCTGATAATACTCTCAAGTACTTTACATATTATGCTGGTCAGGCTCACCGGTCTATAGTTGTTCGTGGAGTGCCTATCGCCCTTCTTGAAGATAGGACTCACATAAGCCACTTTCCATTCACTGGGGACCATTTGTTCATCCAGGCATTTACAAAACAGAATCTTCAGGGGCTCTGCAAGCTCGTTGCACAGCTCCCTTAGCACTCTAGGATGCACCATGTCAGGTCCAGGACTCTTATGGACCTTTAGCCTGGACAGTTTATTTCTAATACCCTCTTCTGTGAACACAATGTGGGTCAGTGCTGTGTCGAACCGTCTGTCCTCAAACGCAGGAAGGTTAGTTGCATCCTCTCTTGTGAACACTGAGGAAAAGAAGCTGTTCAATGCCTCAGCTTTATCCTGGTCAGAATCTGCGTAACTACCATCTTCAAGCCTCAGGTCTGATACTCCTACTCGCGTTTTCAATTTCGACTTTGCATAGCGGTAAAACGCCTTTGGGTTTGACTTGACCTCGCGTGCAACCAGCCTTTGGAACTCCTTTTCAGCCCTCCTACACTCTATCTTTGCTTGGTTTCTGGCTCTTGCATACATCCTCCTGTCTTGCTCATCGTTTGACCCAACCCACGTCTTGAATTTCTGGGTTTTCTTCTTAATTTTGTCGACCGCCGCATGGTTCATGTGTAGGGATCCCCTCGTATTCCTAGAAGCACTGGGTTTGGTCTTGGGTATATATTTATCGATCAAATGGGTCATTTTACTAGTTATGATATTCAGCGTAGTGTCTGCGTTCTTGTACCTTAATAAGTCAGGCCAGTTGATACCCCTCATCTCTTCCCTCATCCCATTGTAATTTCCCTTGTAATATTTGCACCTTGGCCTGGCCTTATCTTGAACTAGGTAACAGTTAAATCTGAATGACAACACTGTATGGTGACTGGTGCCAACTGGGGCAAGGTGTTCCAGTTTGGCCACCATACCCTCCTCGTTTGTTATGATGAGGTCAAGTGGCTTGGGTGTTTGTTCCCCTCTGTAATGTGTCGGGTCTCTCACATGTTGGAACAGAAAATTATCTCTCAGAGTTTCTACAAAAAGAGTAGCAGGATTATTCAAGTCATTCGGGGTTGACTCGTTTCTCCAGTCGATGTCGCCATAGTTAAAGTCCCCCATGATAAGGAGGTGGCTGGGGTTGAGCATCGCCGCATTGTTTATTAAGGTTCTTAAGTTCCTTTGATTTAGTGGGCCACAGTTCGGGGATCTGTAGATACACCCGACGATAAGTAAGTCCCCTCCCTTTAATTTAATTTTACACCACTTGGACTCTTCAAAGACATCCTCTCCCTGTACCCTCGCCTGGCTGGCTCTAAGGTCTTGCCTAGCGTAGATAACCACACCCCTCCTGCAGGATTCTTGAGTTAGGTTCGTAAATGAGTCATATCCAGCAATACTGAACTCACATTCCTCTGGGTCGATTCTCCTGTTCTTGTACAACAGTTCTACAACTCCTACAATATCTGGTTGGTGTACTCTTAGTAGTGTTTCAAACTCCTCCCTCTTATCAAGGAACGTGTCGGTATTAGTGTACATGACATTCAAGCCAGAATTTGTTCTCGGTAACGTCTCTGCTCTTAGTAATAAACCCGCTCCACCCACATTCTCAGAAGCTGCAGCATTTGCTAAGTACACTGTATTTTGCAGGGTGTGGTTAAAAATTTCATTGTTTACACGGCGCTCGTTCCCTCCTGTCCGGTAGGCTGAGCTGGTGCCGCCTCCCGGGTGGGGGGTTGAGTGGGTGGAGGGTGCACTGCTGCCCCCTGGCCCTGTGTCGGCACACTTGTTTCCACTACCCTCCCCCTGAGTATAACCCATGTGCACCTGTCCCCGTTCCTTCTCGACTCCTCCCTCTTCTGCTTCAAGTCCAGCAGGAGCTTCTTGTGCTGTTCCCTCTGCATTACCGTGCGGTCTGGGTGAATAAATACATCTCGAAATGCCTCGCTCCTTGCTAAGTTTTTTGCCTGCCGGATAACTTGCCATTTTTCCTCCTCACTCCCTAGTGTGATCCTGAGGGGGCGAGGCTTAACCCCCTGCTTTTGTCCCAGTCTCCTCACATCCTGAGGGGTTGCTGGAATCTTCAGAACCTCTGTGCAAATATTTTGAAACAGCACCTTGTCGTGTGTTTCCTTACTCACAGTTCCCTCTGCCTGGCTCTCTGGGACTCCAAAAACTATTACATTGTTCCTGCGCTGGAGCCGTTCCTGGTGTTCCTCCTCTCCCCTAACAGTAGGTCCGTTAATTTTCATTTCTTCGACACACTTTTTCAGAGTCCCAATCTGCTGTAGAACCTGTACTGATTCTGCATTACTCTCCGCCCCCCCCACCCGTGGCCCTCCTAATACGTCCGCATAGCTCCTCTTAGCAACCACCTCCATTCTATTAGCTACTTCCTCAGTCTTAGCAAGGATCTCTTTCTCAACTTGCTCCAGTTTGTCAACCAGCAGGGCTCCTGCTTCATCTATTTTCGTCCCTAGAGAACTCGTTCCCTTATGGATTGCAATCGCTTCATTCACCTTGACTATGCAGCCAGGGCAATACCAGCAACAGCCATCAAGCTTTACGGCAGTTAGTAACTTCCTAAACGTTGCATTAGTTAGGCCTGCATCCTCCATATCCGACGTCTCCCTGCAGTAATCACATACCAAACTCATGGTTGTTGTTGTTGTGGGGGGGGGGTGCAGACTGTGTATAGATCTACACCTATTTCAAAGAAAATAAAGAGAGAAAAAAGTACTTAGCTACTCTCTGTTGCCTATGGAGTTGTCGTCTGCGACTGCGTACACTGTATCTCCCTGTGAATGGTGTATTGTAGGCACAGTTTCAGTCCTTGAGCAAGCACACAATCAACATAAAATAAAATTTAAAGTCTCTGTGGCACCTATGACACGACTTGGTTTCAGCTGGCACGGTGCCTTTCCAGCTTGCTTGCTAGTGAGCGCTCACTTTAAGTTATTTACAACTTCAGCGGTCACTGATGACACTATGAACTATCACTGTGTACACTGTATCTCCCTGTGAGTGGTGTATTATAAACACAGATTCAGTCCTTGAGCAAGCACACAAACAAAATAAAATTTAAAGTCTCTGTGGCACCTATGACACGAATAGGCTGGCAGTTGTCCTTACCAGCTCGATTGCCAATATGTATTCACTTTAAGTTATTATAGTCTCTTCTGCATTCACTGATGACAACTATGAACTGATTTAACTGAAGGCACAGTACTACACTCCCTGGTTGGCCTTTATCACAGCCGTGACCACAACACCCTAAAAAATAAAATAAAATAAAAGCTTTGTCATGTGGCAGTGATTGTGTGGTTATAGGCCTGTGACCCTGGCTGTACCTCCAACTCGGTGGAAATTGAGTTTTCAAAAATACAATCGTGTCTAGCATGAAAAGTCCGACATCGATTTACACTTTCACCTCACTAAGACGATCTTGACGAACTTATGTAATCACTGTCCAATTTCTGCCGCTCTACATCGAAGGCCCGGATGCCGAACACGCTTTGTTACAGAGACGCAACACGACCCGCCCGCCCGCAACGATTTGGCCACCTATGGTCCCCCGCCCGCAACGATTTGGCCAACACTTAATTGTAAGTGACTGGCTGTGGACCACGGTGTAGAGATTAGTCACTATACATTACATAACTCTCTTTTACTTATCTTGCATTATGAGAGAAAATAATTTTGTCTGTTTATCTAGATTCTACAAGAACTCAAACATGGGAGTGTTCCCTCTAAACCCTCATATAAATAATCAACGATAAAAATCACTGAATGGGATCAAAGGTTTTGCCCGAGTGGTAATACGTAGCCTGAGGAAGAAATCCCCCTTACTACTTACTCAAAGGTTCTATGTTTAATTTCTAAACAAAACCTACGAGAAACTCGGTGTTCAGTTAAATCACACCATCCAAAAACATTAGTAATTTAACTTACCATAATGACACACCTGTTTGTGAGCATCGTAACTGTCACTGCCAAAATCTGGGTAGTCACTCATGATCCCATGATGATATGCCTGACAGCCATATAGACAAGCGTTCCTTATGGTGTCCTACAATAAGAAGAATAAAATGTCATAAACTTAAAATTAACTCTAACAAATTATGGGAACGTTGAACGATGGTATAATATATTTAACTTTTTTTTTTTTTTAATATATATATATATATATATATATATATATATATATATATATATATATATATATATATATATATATATATATATATATATATATATATATATATATATATATATATATATATATATATACAGGGATTAGCCCACACGGGCACAGGTCATTGACTCACACCGGGGCTTGGGGGGCGAAAATGTAATACTAATAATATTTCAGATAAATAAAAAACGCCCGTATCATCATTGGGTATGACTTTGCTTGGGAGATTGGTATCCCCGCATCCCCTGAGCAACGCTCTTGTGCATTATGCAGAAGACCCGACAGCCGCACCCTTATCCACTACCTCCTAAGATGTCCCCACACACAACGCTTCCGTGACGCCTGCTGGACCACCACTCCACGACCCCCTGACGGAGACACGATGATCCTCCCCATACTGGCCGGATACTATGTAAATAACATTGATTATGTGTTAAAGGAATATCCTTCCTTCCTTAGGCTTTAGTAAGCCTCTTTATAATATTTATACTGTATATACTTGTCACACTTGCCAGATGCTTCTGGTGTTATTGTACAGGGGTACCTAGTGACAGCACTAGGATCCCGCTTCCTCTATCAAAGAATAAACAATTGAAATTGAATTGATAAATAAAAAAAAATACAAACATAAAAATAATGAAATAATGATAACGATGATAGGTTTAGTAATAAGTAAGTTCATGTTATCTCATATTTAAATTTTAGGGTGGCCAGAAGTCCGGCTTTTGAGCACTGTCCTCCGTCCGGCGCTACCTCAAGCCGGATGTTAATTTGTCCTACCCTTTGTTGTCTGACTAAAAATAATTATATAAATTACCTTAGGTATACTTAAAACAGCGGAAACTGAAGGCCATAATAACCATTAACGTATTTTTATTATATGTAGTTGCCGTTGTCAACACTGCTGAAGAGCCGCAGTGGACGACAGTAAGAGTCAAGTTGCCAACACGTCCTAGATGGCCAGTCTGCCAAGGCCGCAGTGGAGAGTGGATGACATTTTTTTTGCTTCAATTTGGTTAGCATATGCTGTTTCAGCAGGAGTTAAAATGAATATTCATTTCTTCCAGTTCTTTATTTATACTGTATGAATGCATGCACTGTATGTAATACATACAGTGCGTTTAAAAAAAATGACCACAAAACAGCATTCATCACATTATAGTGATATTTGACAAATCAACATTTCTTCTAAGTTCTATTTTATACAACTTTTGGTAAATTTGTATAAGTGCACCCAACTCTGTTAGAAAGTCAAATATATATTTTTCTAGTGTGTTTAGATCGGTTATGACCTTCATTTCCGCCGGAAATTGGCAGGGTTTTTTTATCGATTTTTTTTGGGGCGTTTTCCCGAAAAAAAATGGCTAAGCGAATACAAAATACACAAAAAACACCAGAAAAACATAAACCTAACCTGACCTAACCTAACTGACTCCCACCATATGATGGAATCACTTATTTCTTACCTTAATGGCCTGGTTCTCACACGTCGCTGGAGTTACTACAATGTCACATACAGTATGTTGGTCTTGACGATAATTACATTCGTTCTTGCACTTAGGACACTTTACTGAAGTCGGGAGAACACCATGAGATCGAAAAAATGCTATATTTTCTTCGTTTCCCCCTCCCCCCCCAAAAAACCAAATCGCAATCAGCTTCATATACAGTAATTGAAGTGACACCCATCGCAGACTTCTATGGTCGGAAATTAATTTGAATTTCGAAATATGAGGTACCCAAAAATAAAAATCGAATTTGATTGAGTCAAAAAATACCGCGAATTAAACCACAAATCGTTTTAATTGGTTGCAAAAAAAAAGAGAAGCTTTTGATTGGCCGCGTGAAGTGTACGGGAACGCAGGCGCGTGATGATTTATGAAGACATGCAGTATGGGAGGTGAGGTAGGCAATAATGGCGGATGATTAATAGAAGAAAATGATATAGATTAGGGGTAGGAATGTCGGGTGCGGAAATACAATAATACCCAACTTTTTAAATAGTTTCAACTCATCATTAAACAGGCTTAATTTAGGAAAATAATAGGTGTCGCCAAAAAAAAGAAAAAAAATTTCCGTTTTGGAAATAGCCGCCCTAGATACAATGTAGGCTAACAGTCGCTGGTGTTTTTGACACTTCCTTATACCTGGAGCTGGCGGACGCCCGCCCCACAAGGGGTCACAGCTCAAGGTTGAAGAAGCCACAAGTCCAGATAACTGTGAGTCTGTAACGGCAAACTTTTTCGGAGTGAGAATTGCGAACTCTTGGAACAATCTACCAGTGTTGTGACGGCACCGAGTGTGGGCTCTTTCAAGGCCTGACTTGGCCAACACTGAAGCAGGTTCCGAACTTCCGATATATTCAGGCGCCTGTGCATGCCCAGTATTTGCCAACAGTGCGTAACAAGGACGTGACCGACCACCCAAGCTGCTAACGAGCCGATCAGTGGCGAAGAGAGTAAAAGTAAAGGTAAATGGTAGCCCACGAATACAAGGGCTACGTCTTCACTTCTGGATGCAGGGCGTCCAGTGATATCCCTGTGGATACCAAACTTGTCGGTGTCTCGGGGAATGAGGCAGTTGATAGACTTGACAACACTGGCCCTAACAAGGTCACACCTGATTATATTGTCCCTCGAATAATTCGACAACTTTACAACACAAATTCATCACAAACAGAGAGGGGCTTGGGAAGCAGCCATCCCTCCTGAGTCTGGACTCAACGCCCTCCTGGCACCAAGGACTAAAACATCCTTGCCTGGTACATTGCCCTCCGTAACCTTCCTGACTTCTCGTATGTGTACGGGAAAGGGTCGCGCAAGAGGGAAGTGATACTGCTCGACTCATCATTGGGTAACCCCCCCACCCCCTTGAGCAACGTGCTCGTGTATTATGCAAGAGCAGCCGCACACTCGTCCACTCCATCCTCAGATGTCTCAAATGGCGGAGGCACGACGCTTATCACCTGCATGTTGGCCAGATATTCCATAAATGATATTGATGTTATTTTGAAGGAATCTCCTTCCTTCCTTAAACTTTAGCAAGCCCATTTGTACTACTTTATATTATGTACTTGAGACTCCTGCCAAATGCCTCTGATAACACTGTACAGGGGAACCTGGTGACAGCACTAGGAACTCTTTCCTATAATATGGAAATTTAATTTGAAATGGCAAAGAACGTACTGTTGGCCTACATTAATTTTATGGAAGAAAAAATTAAGAAATACAAAAACTAATTTCTACACTTGGTTATTCGAGATAAGGAAAAAGTAATATGGATCGTTGTCCAAACCACTAATACTTACTTCTAAATGAAATTACCTTAGTAACTAATTATCACCGTCTCGATAAACTCTTTATCAAGGCTCAGGTTAAATTTACTCGCTGTACCAGTATTGTACTAGGCTACGTGACCCACACAAACTATTATTTCACAAGTATTGCATCTTCATATTTTCTCTCATAAGGACTGTACTGACCTCTCTTCTCATTAAACTTAAGGCGATACTAACTTATAGTGAACATAAGACAACGGTAACTTACAGTGAACATAAGATAACGGTAACTTACGGTGAACATAAGATAACGGTAACTTACGGTGAACATAAGACAACGGTAACTTACAGTGAACATAAGATAACGGTAACTTACGGTGAACATAAGATAACGGTAACTTACGGTGAACATAAGACAACGGTAACTTACAGTGAACATAAGACAACGGTAACTTACGGTGAACATAAGTCAACGGTAACTTACGGTGAACATAAGATAACGGTAACTTACGGTGAACATAAGACAACGGTAACTTACAGTGAACATAAGATAACGGTAACTTACGGTGAACATAAGACTGGCCGCCAGCATTAGTCAAGTCTGGTCTTGAATGAGCTCACACTCGGTGCCGTCACAATGCTCTCTGTGAGACTGTTTTTTTTAAGAGTTTACAACCCTCACTCCAAAACAGTTTGCCCTGATAATTATCTGAACTTGTGGCTGCTTCAACCTTAATCTCTGACCTCTAGTGGGGCGAGCATCTGCCAGCCACGGACATTCGATTGAATAATGCCCGCCTATAGTATAAGGCTATAAGCTACAGGTAGACTTGCAGGCATTCTAATCTCTCTGGGTGACGAGTGCCGTAGTGCAGGCACCGGTTCAGGTGAGTCCTCCAGGATGGGAAGCCATTCACTTTTCAACAGCGCTACAAGAATGAACCATCTAGGCATGTGAACAACCTTCTTACTGTATAAGACACTAGCGTGGGCGCTTGATTCACCTTCTCACAATGATGTGAAAACTTTAGTTCGTTGTCAACATACACACCCAGGTCCTTTTAATATTTGGACTCCGTTAAAGCTGTTTCTTCGTCCCGTTGAGATAAGTGATATGGGTCTCGAGACCCAGGTACATCCCTTGTACATTTCGTGACATTGAATCTTAACCATTTCACTGACCACTCCTGAAGCTGACAGATATATTCTTGTAGCCCTTCAGTCCGTTACAAAAACAACAGTAATAACCTAAGTATAAGAGTACAGGTACAGTAAAATAACTCACGTCATCAACCATTTTGCCACATATCAGCTGACATGCATTAAGTCCATCGGATCCTTCACTTGATATATCATCTCGTGCTTCATTGAAGGCCTCTGTCGACACACCACCAGTTATACCCAGGAACAAGATCACGAGGGTCCACATGGTCGTGGCTGGGAGGACGTCTAACACACACCTTCCTTCCTCCATGTCTTCCCTCCTACCTGACGCTGGGCCCAGTATTCTTCCGCCTCCAAGTCGCTTTAAAACCGAAATAATACTTTTTTTTTGACAGTTTAATGTTATAAGGTGATCAGGAAACCCAAAACGGTGTTATAGCATTAACAATTATAAATAATTAGTAATTGTCAGTTTTATATACCATTCAAAATTATAATTAGCTTACCTCATCTAAACATGTTGATATATTTGAAACTGAAATAATACTAATACTAAACGTTCCACTACTTCTTAATATTATTGTAAGTCCTTAGGGTTCATTATTTAGCTTTGGTTATCTGCCTTGGATGATAAGCTACAGGAACTAGTTTTTGTTATCACCGCTTAAAATAGTATTTTTCTTAATTTTGTAGAAAAAAAAATTGCCTGATAATTATTACAAGTTTTTGGCCTCAGTTTCATTTTTTTAATTGTACAAAATTGTTACGTATAAATATCATAGTATTTATCGTTTTGCATCACTACTTTGGTGATTATTAGTACACCAGGGAGACAATTAACGCAATAGGAAGGGAATTAACAGATCAGGGAGGGAATTAACACATCAGGGAGGGCTATTAGTACATCAAGGAGGGAATTAACAGATCAGGGAGAGAGTTAACAGATCAGGGAGGGACTTAACCAGATCAGGGAGGGAATTAACACATCAGAGACAGAATAAACACATTAGGGAGGGAATTAACACATCGGGAGGGCAATTAGTACACCAGGGAGAAATTAACATCAGGGAGGGAATTAACATATCAGGGAGGGCAATTAGTACATCAGGGAGGGAATTAACACATCAGGAAGGGCAATTAGTACACCAGGGAGGAATTAACACCAAGGAAGGAATTAACGCATTAGGAAGGGCAATTAGTACATCAGGGAAGGAAATAACAGATCAGGGAGGGAATTAACAAATCAGGGAGGGAATTAACACATCAGGGAGGGCAACTAGTACATCAGGGAGGGAATTAACACATTAGGGAGGGCAATTAGTACACCAGGGAGAAATTAACATCAGGGAGGGAATTAACATATCAGGGAGGGCAATTAGTACATCAGGGAGGGAATTAACACATCAGGAAGGGCAATTAGTACACCAGGGAGGAATTAACACCAAGGAAGGAATTAACGCATTAGGAAGGGCAATTAGTACATCAGGGAAGGAAATAACAGATCAGGGAGGGAATTAACAAATCAGGGAGGGAATTAACACATCAGGGAGGGCAACTAGTATATCAGGGAGGGAATTAACACATTAGGGAGGGCAATTAGTACACCAGGGAGAAATTAACATCAGGGAGGGAATTAACATATCAGGGAGGGCAATTAGTACATCAGGGAGGGAATTAACACATCAGGAAGGGCAATTAGTACACCAGGGAGGAATTAACACATCAGAGAAAGCAATTAGACATCAGGGAGGGAATTAACACATCAAGGAGGGAGTTAACACATCAGGGAGGGAATTAACATATCAGGGTTGGAATTAACACATGAGGGAGAGAATTAACACACGAGGAAGGGGATTAGTACATCAGGGAGGGAATTGGTACATCATGGAGGGGATTAGCAGACCAGAGAGAGGATAAGTACATGAGGGGGGATTAGTACACCTGGGAGGGGATTAGTACATCAGGAAGGGGATTAGCACACCTGGGAGGGGATTAGTGCACTGTCTATGTACATTGTTTGAACACCTGTAGTCTACATGACCCGCTGTAAAATGTCTTTAGCGATCCCTAGAAAAACATGAAACACAGTATTTTCCTTATCTTCATTATACCTTTCTTTTAACTTTCTCTTTATGTTCTCCCCTATGGTATCACACCTTGGTAGTATTGGTATATACAGTACAATACAATTAGCGAGTTAATTATTAAATCATTATAAGATTACCTGTATTACAGCACTTTTGTATGTGCATTATTAGTACTGTATTCCTTTTTCTAATTAGCAATCTTGAGTCTCATGGTCTAAAGAATGGCACTTAGTTACAGTATCATCAGCCTAGTTTACATTAAGTCAAATGCAGGACAAAGACCTCTCCCAACTTCCCACACTGTGAACTAATTGCTGTTAGTCTGTTCCATTCTGCCCAGCAAATTTACAAGATTTTATCTATGTTATTCTTCGTAGAACCACATGCAGTCACAATATATGAACATAATATCTATAGAAATTGCTTTGTTGGACAGTTCTCAGTATGACTGAGAAGATAGATTTATTTATTGCTAGCAGGCACTGAAACCCTGCAACTGCAGGTGTTGCAGGTCCTTTAGGCTGCCCCTGACTGTATGAAAGGTCAAAGAACTAATACAACAATTTACTATAAAATATAATACTTTATTAACAACAAAGAGTGTTCAATTTTTACTCTCATAAAGAAGATAAGCATGACAGGAGGTGAAACTGGAACTTAAAAATAACAAGGCACTACATATTTCTTGGAGTGAGTGAGACTTGTGGTTCTTGAGAGAGTACAGAATATGAGTTGGTGGCAAGAATTGTGTCACTTTTAGGATATGGCAGAGATGAAGCTTACACAAACAACCCTTCTAAACCTCTCCCTTGAGAAAAGTAAAATACTGTACATATACTGTACTGTACAAGAAAAAAACTGAGTTTGTTGATGAGTCAAGTATTATTTACCATCTAACATTGATATGATAATGAGCTCCTCACCATTTGCCTCTCAGTATCATATTTTAAGAACTTTACTAATTTCCTTCACTTACAGATGATTCCTAATTACTGTATAGTACTTTTCATACAAGTTTTTTCCTTATCAATTTTTTATCTATAATATCATTGCATTACTGATGTGGGTTGGCTTAAGTGAGATGCAGGAATGGTGACTGGCCAGATCAAGTTACAGTATTGTAACTCTCGAGCTGGAGTAAATGTACTTCTGTATTATACTGTACAGTAATTAGTTTTTGATTAATAAAATGTTTTGCCTTCTAAGAAATGGAATGATTTTTATCAACAACTTATTATATCAATGTAGGAAATTGATGGAAGTATTCCCGCACAGCACAGAATACAATTTTATATCCTTAGGCAGAATCCCCATGACATGATACAAATGCAGTTTTTTGCTAGCCTTATATATTTCTGCTCTTGCCCACTGTTTAGATGTAGTGGCAGAGTGTTTATCCATGTGAGATGAGATTCAAAGTTTAGAGTCAATATGAAATGCACAGTTTACTCTCAGAAAACTTTTCTCAGCACCAAGAAATATTCTTTGAAAGTGGGCTGGTGTCTGTCTATGCAAGATGCGTAGTTTAGACTCTCGGAAACTTTCCCCAATACCCAGAAATTTTCCAGGAATGTGAGATTTTCCCGAGTTTGAGAGTTGTCTCTTTACTAGCTCGAAAATTACCATGTAATCTCTCATCCCCGTAAGAGCTCTGCACCAATTGTTCCGGCTAACAGTACAACTTTTATAAACTGTTTTGCACATAAAATATCACATGAGACCTCGTATAAATACAGCATAGAACAAATCTTATCAAATGAACATTGTATACAAGACAAAAATTTTAACCAAATATATACAACTTAAGTAAATTGTTATGCATTTAGTTTATCTTTACTTACATAATATAAAAATATCTAACCTATAACATAATGGTGTAGAGTACAGTACATTATCTGGGGAACTGGACACACGATGTTATGAGACACTTGTACTGTACTGTATACAGTATATAAAATGTGAACTGTTTTTTGATAAGGTTTATAGTAAGCTTAGGTATTGTATGTTAAATCATTAAATGGTGGTGGTGGTGTAGGAAGCAGTGGTGTTGGGGGAGGTGGTGAAGGAGGTCATGGTGAAGAAGGTGATGGTGGTAGTAGTGGTGGTTGTGGAGGAGGTGGTGTTAGTGGTGGAGGTGGCGATGTTAGTGGTGGAGGTGGCGATGTTAGTGGTGGAGGTGGCGGTGTTAGTGGTGGAGGTGGCGATGTTAGTGGTGGAGGTGGCGGTGTTAGTGGTGGAGGTGGCGGTGTTAGTGGTGGAGGTGGCGGTGTTAGTGGTGGAGGTGGCGGTGTTAGTGGTGGAGGTGGCGGTGTTAGTGGTGGAGGTGGCGGTGTTAGTGGTGGAGGAGGTGGTGTTAGTGGTGGAGGTGGCGATGTTAGTGGTGGAGGTGGCGGTGTTAGTGGTGGAGGTGGCGGTGTTAGTGGTGGAGGTGGCGGTGTTAGTGGTGGAGGTGGCGGTGTTAGTGGTGGAGGTGGCGATGTTAGTGGTGGAGGTGGCGGTGTTAGTGGTGGAGGTGGCGGTGTTAGTGGTGGAGGTGGCGGTGTTAGTGGTGGAGGTGGCAAGAGGTAGTATTAGTGGTGGAGGAGGTGGTGTTAGTGGTGGAGAAGTGGTATTAGTGGTGGAGGTGGTGGTGGTGTGTTAGTGGTGGAGGTGGCGGTGTTAGTGGTGGAGGTGGCGGTGTTAGTGGTGGAGGTGGCGGTAGTGGTAGGTGGCGGTGGTGGTGGAGGTGGCGATGTTAGTGGTGGAGGTGGGGTGGTGGAGGTGGCGGTGTTAGGAGGTGGCGGTGTTAGTGGTGGAGGTGGCGGTAGTGGTGGTGTTAGTGGTGGAGGTGGCGGTGTTAGTGGTGGAGGTGGCGATGTTAGTGGTGGAAGTGGTGATGTTAGTGGTGGAGGTGGCGATGTTAAAGGTGGAGGTGGCGGTGTTAGTGTGGAGGTGGCGTGTTGGTGGTGAGGTGGGTGTTAGTGGTGGAGGTGGCAATGTTAGTGGTGGGGGATGTTAGTGGTGGAGGTGGCGGTGTTAGTGGAGGAGGTGGTGTTAGAGGTGGCGGTGTTAGTGGTGGAGGTGGCGATGTTAGTGGTGAGGTGGCGGTGTTAGTGGTGGAGGTGGCGGTGTTAGTGGAGGAGGAGGTGGTGTTAGAGGTGCGGTGTTAGTGGTGGAGGTGGCGATGTTAGTGGTGGAG